GTGCTACTCATTGCACAACACACATCTGGCATTGATCTTTTGTACTACTAGCTTCAGAACACATTTTTCCTCATTTAATATCTGCTAATGGGCAAGATCAGAGGATTGTACATCCCTCTATAATACAATCTGTCTGAAAGTCAAACATGGTGTGGCAGAACATGACGAGAAGTGACACGGCACATCAAGCGCGCACAAGATAGGCCTATATCATGATATAATGCGTCACCTTCAGCGCAAAAATGCGACCAGCTTGCACGGTGCGTGACCATAGAGCACCCATAATTGGAAACTATCACAATCAGTAACATGGTGGTCACAGATTGTCACTGTGAAAAGGACCACCAACTCCAAGATCATTGTCGTCGAACAAGATGTTCTGAAAACACATCCCTTATGCTCCGATCCCAAGATCAGAGTAAATGAGAAATATATTGGGACAGAGAAGAAACTATGTAGATACTTTTTGTGAGCGATTGGCCTGATTAACGGCACAGACAGTCATAATGCACTTAGGTGTGAAAAGGAGTGTCGCTACACTGTAATTATGCATTGCCGTCCAATGACGCGCAACGTCTCTGAAAGATATTATTTTCCCTATCAAGAGTTGGGTACTCATAGCCTTTTAATATATGCAAACGTGGCCGCAATCCGAAGTGTGCATACACTGCGCAAGGCGAACACTGCGTGAGTACCAGAACCTCCGAACGTCCTGATTACTGGGTCTTTGATCATTCCAACTGCTCTCGGTGGTACTTCGGCGTAAGTCTGAGCCCTCGTCCGTAGACCTATCGATAATACAACCAAGATAACTATTTTGAAGGACGTCTAGCTGCGGTGGCCACTGTACAATCACAGTACAATATTCTGTGTGTGCGTAACATTTGCACTCAAGTTTCATTTATTACAATGCCATCATCCTGCTTATCTCGAAGACATGCTGGATCACTTGGAAGCATTGATCTCGTGGACGATACTCCAAACCGCTGGTCGGACTCCATGCACACCAGCATCTTATCAGACCACCACCGTAGTGCATAAAACGGGACTCGTTCTTCATCAGTATCTTGTCCAACCTGGCCTTCACATCTGCGACTCGTACGCAAGCTTTACCCCAGAATGTCCTCTGTTTCATCTATGGCAGCTCTAGTCCATACAGTGTGAGTCGTCCGTGCCCGGTGAGAAAGTCACTCGTAACTTACCATCTATCGCAAGGTACCTGCAATATATCTGCGCCTACACACCTAGCGGTGCGGAATTCTTCATGGGCATTTTACGTGTTTATGAAACATTAGCATGATAGCCCTCGCATTCTACGAATATGTTATCACCTTCTCACTTGAGGTTGATCTATTTTGGCTGCGTCCTGTATCCTCCGGGGCCACCATTATATTTCTCCTCAACAGATATGTACTTTTATTCAATGCTGTAGCGAACATAATGGGTGCCATTCCTTTGACTTCCGCCTTGGTGAGTTCTCTTATCATATACTCTTACCTAGGCTCTGTGAAAACTCATGTGACAATGGAATAGAGGTTTGTCTGTTCAATTTCATTTATAGCATTGAGGTAATAGAATCAGTTGCAAGGCCATTATCATTATTTCATTAGTCGCAAACATTGCAGCGATAGCGATCGCAGCGGGTCTGTCTTACGCGTACTTCAACCTTTAGTCGTTACTGAATGGATCGTACCTAGTCTTTTCTGCTCTACGAACATATGCTGTAGGTAGGCTTGATAAGCGACCTGCATTGCTAGTGTTCGCGTTTGGGCTTGTGCCTGTGGTAATCAACATGGTGTGTCTCATGGATCTTCTCTGGAAAGTTGACGCCTTCTTACACCCAAGCAGTATGTTTTAGCGAACGCCTATCCTTATGTATTTTCAGTGAATACCTCAATGGCATGTGGAATATCCTCCCCTATAGCAGGCTCCACTTTTTTTGAGTAAGTATTTGACGATGTTCACATGCAACTAGCACTGATGCCGCTTTATATTCAATAGATGTAAGCCCTCTTCCAGCAACAGTCGTTGTTGCACTGATTCCTTTGTAGTGTCTATTGTAATGTCAGTAGCGACCATCATTTCCGATATGATCGCTATTGTGACAACCTGGAAGCATACAATATTCCAATCCGGATTCGCGTCTCGATATTTTGATTCCAAACCATCAATCATGTCGGTTGTCCTCGCAGATGGTGATTTTCTGTCAGTGAATGAGACATTACTAGCGTTCTAATTGATGGTGTTGTTTAGGGACAGCATACTTCATGTGAGAACATTTCCGTATCTTCGTGAGACAAATAAAAAGACGATTGTGCTTAGAACAGACCTCACACTGCAGATTTTGCAATTTGCACTGATGTATCAGAATGAAAAATCATCGGTCGATATTCTACATTATTTTACACAATTAATGTTTGACATGGGCATTTTTAGTACTTCACTGACTATGCGCCCTCGTTTATCAGCATGTAAGTCATTCGCAATCGTGGTCTGGGCGCGTTAGTTTGAACCACCCAGTACTTATCTACTCCCCTAGTCTCCCATATATCCTCATTTCACGGTTCATAATCAACCTTCGAATTGCTTCCGAATCTACACGCCCATTGTCTCAGCTCAACTCTGAAGGATTGAATGCACAGACAGACAACCTCACGACCATTCTTTTTAGAGGCTTGGGTGGACCTCTTGATCATGGCCTAACTTTTGCCGTGGAGGACGAGCTATTGAGTGACTAAGATGGCTCGGACGAGCCAACTTGTGACATCCCAGCGATTGGCGAGGAACTCGAGCTAGCAGATCTTAGCGAAGGAAGATGGACAGACGAAAGAGTAAGTAGCAAGCGCACTCAATTTCTATCGTTAGCTGTACTGCTTTACTGACTGCTCTTACATAAGGTTGCACGAGGGCGTCAACGCCGACAATGTGACAACTTCAGAAACCCAAGAATGTAGGCGTTCAGGTTGAGGGACAGTTCGCTTCAAGTAAGCTAAACAGCACATCACTAAGACTGTTCTCCAATGTAGCCAGATACTGATGCTTGTTCATTCTAAATTTACAGCACATCATAACAGGTTTTTTTTGTATCCATTTATTGTCCGCGAGGGCCGAGCCCTAATCAGAACAGGTAATCAGACGAATGGATTATTTATTCAAGGCTTGTAGCTCGTTGCGATGCTCGATATTATCATGTTCAGCACTAAACAATGGAACCCCATAAGCCCGCAAACATCTCTATTCTCACTCAGCATCCGCCCTGCCCTTTGCCGCGTCATGATCACGATGCTTCAGCTCTTCCTTCGCGGCTTCCATTTCTTCCTCTGTGGGGAAACTAGCGAACCAGTCCTTGAGTTTGTCGACCGGGGCTGCAAGCAGCCCCACGACGGTCTCGAACGGAGGCTTATTCGGCGCGGACGGATGTGCCCTGGTGAATGGGAGATGAGAGATTAAGGACAGCGTGGGATGAGGGGCCGGCCGACATAAATGTAAGACAGGTAGCGTCGACCATGCGAGCACCCGCGGCAACAGATAGAGCACACAAATAACGAAAAATCATGACGGGTAGAAACGTACCTCGTCGGCACGAGCTTTTTTGTCTTCTTGAAGCTCACAGCGGCCTGTCTGCTTGAATCAGCACCAATCGCCGCCTCAAGAAGAGGCAGATCTTTGATTTCCTCATCATCATTGTGCGGATGGAGCGAGGCCATGACAAGCTCGACTGTTTGGCCGTATTCAGCACTCGCGGGGCGAAGGGACTCGAGCTTATAAAGAAGCTCCTTGACATGCTAGTACAACAGCCGCAAACGAGAAGTCAACCACAGCTGAGAACACAAGGGAAATAAGCTGGAGAAATCACCTGGTGCTCGGCACGGTCATGGTCCGCGAGTTGACGCCCCTTTTCGCCGAGGTGTGCCTCCATGAGGGGATAGACAACGATCTCCTCCCCAACGGCATGTCGCGCGATTTCCCAGGTGAGCTGGTGCGCCCACCGCGCCTGGGCTTCGACGTCACTCGCAGTGCATGCGCGCTTATACTCGTCATGATAAAGATACATCTGATAGCACCAAGGTGAACAGTAAATCCAAGTGCGAAGTGCCAAAATAAGGAGATATACTTCTTCGTGGTCCTCTTTAATTGCTTGGAAGAGCGTCTTTTGCGACATGGCCCGGACGAATGCGGCTGCGAATGTGCGGGGTGGATATGTTGTGCGGGTACGAAGAGAAAGTAAAGTCTTTGTCTGGATGGTCGCCCGGTGGGAGACGATAGAGCGAGGAATCATGGACATCCACCACGCGGAGCAATATATATGTGTCTACAAGTCAGACAAGCAGACAAATGGAACGAATCCGTATGGTCTCTGTGATGTAGTCGTGAGCGCACACTTTGCCCCAAAGAAGGGTGGAGCCTGACGGTGACTTCATGAGTGTTGTCATCGTCCTCGGAACATTGTGCCCCCTCTCTATGAGTTGGATGAGGGGCTGCTTGCCGTAGATCGTGAGGCCTACTACTACGAGTTGAAGAGAGAACAATGAATCACTGACTTTGCAAAAATTCTTACAAAAACCTTACCGTCAGGCCTTCACTTGACTCGGAACTGGAACTCGGAGCTCTGACCTAGTTCGACGCAACGCCTGTCGCCCAGGCGGGATCTCGGCATCAGGGACGGTCACGTGGTTCAGGCTCGATCGCGTCGTGCGTGAAGAGTGGTGCGTCCCCCGCGTCACAAATCCGAGGCTCGAGCCAGCACCGGTACGCTTGTTCTATCGCTTCCAGTCAGCTACTTATGCTATACCACTCGCTGCAGAGTACGACAAATAAGTTGTCAAAATCTCACCATTCCATCTCTTTCTGGATGCGTCGCTACCGGTCATAGTCATTGGATTGGCATATTGTATGGGCTGTATAATTTATAAGGGACGATGCAAATGTTATCGCCACCGCATATGCATTATGGCTCACCATGCAGCACGATGTCGAGGGCATGGGGCACGAACGGTACAGTGAGGAAATACGAGTTGCTCATCGGCGATTCCCGACAACCCCTGCGACGACGCTCTAGCCTCAAGCAGTATCTCGATCTTCGGTTTTTCATTACCAGCACCCGGTGCTGGTTCGCTTACGCGGAACTGCTTTTCTCCCAGAACCATTCAGGTCAGCCAACATACAGTCTTCAATTCGTTACATCCACGTCGCGCTCATATGCACGAGGGACAATACAGAGCGATTGTTCAGGCACGACAGCAATGCGACATGACATGGGGCGGGGTAGTCGGAAACGTGGAGAGATAGACAAGTCAAATTCACTCAATGTGATGAGAAAGGCGATGGTGAGCACTAGTTACGATGAACTGATGGTAGTAGATCGATACATAGGTCATCAAGCTTGTCCATACTACCGTGCAATCGGTACATGTAGTAGCTTGGATCTACTACAAAACCATTATCCCGGATCGGCGCTCAGAGTTGCTATGCGTCAAAGTGAAGAAATACCGACAAGTTCATATGCATGACGCTAGCAGGCTGTAAAGATGAGCTGACCTGGTTCTGTTTCCAGGTTTGGCGAGATTTAGTTGGTGCTTACCGCTTATTCCATCAGTCAAAATGTATGAAAATTGACGTGCTCATTAGTTTGAGGCCCCCGAGTGGAAGCGACGTATCAGGAAATACACCTGGGGACAGTTTCACGCTGTCTTTCGAAAGTCTCTGGAAGGACGTACTAAATCGTAAAAGTTTTGTCGAAGTGAATCACACACGTACCAGCTCCGGGTCAGAGTTGCATCAGTTTGGGAAGTTCCTTCCACACTACGTTTCGCCGCCCCCTGTCCCTTTGTTCAAGCATTTCATGGCAGTGGATGCAAATCCTCCCGGGTGTGCCATTTACATGAATCATCAACGATATCAAGACGTCGGCTGCAGATAGTGTCATGATTGCGCCGTTGGATGCCGGTTCCAAGACAGCAGTGCCATTTATTGCGGCATATGCTTTGCGAGCTTTTGGTAGCAATGTTTCTAGTGTGGCTGAGCATGTCTGTTTGTTGAAGCAGTTCGAGCTAACGCTATTGCGAAAGACGCGGTAGATTGACAACCCTCGAAGGTACATGAGGTGGGACTTTCCGGCGACGCAACGTTTTAAATCCTCCGAGTCCAATTGGTCGAACGAGCCGTCCTCATAGTGACAGCCGTCCACGAGGTCATCCATGTCCAAAAGACAGCACAGATAGAGACCAATAGGCAAAAGGGATGGCGTGTCGGTGAGACGTGCCAAATTCACCACGACAATTCCGTAAGTAGGATCTGCGTCGAACTCCATCTCATTACTGCCCGAGTTCTCGATGATTGCTTCCCACTGTAAAAGTTGCGCTGGAAAACATGTCTTCAGTCGGTCTAGAGCAGCATCGCGAATCCTCTCCATATGGTATTTGTGACCGAGACGAATCAAAGCTGCAGCCTTCAAGAAGGGAAGTCGGCCTGTGCCGAGATATCTGTTATACCACGCCGGTTCAGTAAAGGGGGCTGCTTAGTTGCGAATGCAGACACACGCACGTGTGACATTCGTATAGGGCTCGCAAAACCTCTCGCACATCATCTGCTCTGTCAGACAGATGGACAATTGGCACCCCCTCACACGTTTCTGCATCTTTGGGCTGTGGGACGGCAAGCATATCGCAAAATACGCCTGAGTTGCGCGAGAGTGTAGACTTGTGAACACGAAAGGCAATATCCTCCACTCCCAGTACAATATTTCCATCCTCGATCCAAAATTCGTCGTCGCGTGTCAGTGGTTGCTCAGCGGGTTCGGTATTGTCAGTATGGGGTTCAGGTTCGTCAGATAATTCCGAGCATGCATCGGTCGCAGAATCAGAACGGGGTCGTTTTCGGCCGGCTGATGTCATATAGAAAGAGAGGCTCAGTGAGATAGGCGTGTCGGAGGTGCTGCCCAGGTATCGCTATTGATATGGCAGAAAACAACTTTGGAGGCGGCGGCGCTACAGGCGTCTCCCTTAATTGGCAATTGCAACTCGATCGGAGGAGCTTGCAGTTAGTATACGTCGCGCGCACTCCATAGTTGCCAACAATCCGAGACCCACTGGCAGCGTAGAAAGCAGCTGTATTTATTGATTCCGCTCCACTACACTAATACTCGTATACATCCTCTCACATTGACTTTTGAATATAGAACCTGTGAGTGATCACTGTTGATCATCGTCAAGGGAAGGACTACAAAAAGTCCTCAAGCTGTCCTTGTACTTTTCCCATGCATCATCTGAAACAATTGGGGCTGAAATATACGGGTCCACGTCCATCAACGCTAAGAGCTCATGCAGGCGCGGAAACACCGCGTCAATCGCTCTTCCCTCCATCTCTTTCTGTTCACGCCTGGATAGTTTGGCATTCTCAACGTACCATGCCGGGTCTTCCTTCAGGCAGCTTGCGACGTAAAGTTCAACAAGATCCTGGTCTACACCTGCCTCGATCGCGGCATCATACGCCATACGGTGTCCGATTGCTCGCACGAGGTCCAAGCACTCGGGAAGCACGGTTCGATCATATTCATTAGTTCGATGGTGCTGCATAGCCTTCGTAAGTTCGCGTAGCTCGGAAAGCATTCCTGCTTCATGTCTTGCCAGTAAACCGTCCGGATGCGTGCTCGATGGAACAGTGTATCGCTGAAGAATCAGCTCGGTGGCGAGACCTATTATGACATCGGCTATAGTTGAGAGAGAGCACGCAGGACATAAGTTGGGAAAGTAACACACGGATTGATATTACTAAGTTGTCGCCTTCGGCGATCGAAGATCCACGGATGTCCCCCTATTAATCGTTAAACAAGAGATTGCAGTGTCTACACAACAGAAAGAGTACTCACATGCATACTGGAAAGTTGGTTGACTTCAAAAAGTCCCTGAGCACCACAGCGGTCGCTCAGTGCCAAAAGAGATGTTTGAGCATGCTGAACAAAGACGATTTTCAGGATGGACGCAACGGCGTGGCGAATGCGAAAGTCTGTGCTTTGGTTGCTGAATATTTTCACGGCCCATTTCTGGAACGCTTGCATGACCACCGTTTGTGCAAATGCAGTCAAGACAGGGATTTGCTGAGTACGGAACGAAATGATGGGTTTACGCTTGCCCTCATTATCGACAATGGTCCTACGCAGACTGTATCGGATCCCAATCCGTGACGCCAGCTGCATTACAGGTATGTTGAGTGAGGCGAGTCCAATGGTACCAACTGCAACGCGAGAGATGTTGTAAAAGAATGCCAGACGCGCGTCAACAGGTTTTTCTCGACTCCCAAGTAGTGCTGAAGGCGGAAGGCGGACATGATTAAAGTACGTCAAAGAATGGTTCAATGGACGGGAACCACCCCTTGGGGGTAACAGCCTGATCGCTATCAGATGCAAAAAAACTAAACGAAGTACTGGAACGTACTTGCATACGATACCCTTTGCCATGTCTTTACCATCGTGCAATTGTACGACGAACGGTTTGACCCCATGATCGTCGCCCCCAACCATCATACGAGCGAAAACAACTGCGACGCATGGTATTCCTAAGGGCGACGTAGGTGGCATATATCTAGGATCGCAATCGCCATTAATACAAGATATATCTAAAACACAGGACATACTTGGCAGCTCGTTCATGTGGCGTATGTAATTCGAACTCTCCATTTGGAAGCAGAGTTGCAGTAGTCTCGAGGTGAATGACGTCAAGACCATGACCAACCTCAGTGAGGCAAAATTGGCCGCTGCAAAAGTTGTGAGAATTAGAAAGTGGTGTCATGAGAAATAATCAGCTACATACGAAACCTTGAAACTCAAAACGTCATGCAAAACGTTTCCCAGGTCTGTTCGTTTAGAGGAGAACATCGCCAGAGTCCCCCCGCACAGATTGTATTGCAATGTTACAAGGGTGCCTGCAGCGCCATCCATCGCCATAATTGGATCTGTGTGCAGTTTCCAAAATTTAGGTGTAAGCTCGATCAAATCGGTGACTGTCAGCGCTAAGTGAATCACATTGCTGGTTAGCGACTGAGGGCCGCGGTGAGTAGACCAATGCGACCCACCATATGCCTTTCCAATACACTTCGCCCGCTCATAACTGATACGGATACGGTCCTCGATAGGTAAGTCCTCTGTATGCTGCTGGAACAGGTGATTCTGTGCCAGTTCACAAGAAGAATATTGACCATCAATGACCATCTTCGTATGTTGCCTCAGGCTTGGGGGGATTGTCGCTTGCTCCCTGTACTTATAGCATGCGTAAATGCAATCTCAACCCTGTTCGTCGACAAGCGAATTCTGACCTAGATACTGCGAAAATGGACAAGCATGTTCCGAAGTTGACACATGGCATGACATTAGAGAGGCATATGGTATGCAGTCCAGGTCACAGTCTCCATCTTACCAATCATCTCGTGAGCTTCCATTCTCTGAGATGGAACTCTACCAAGAGGACGGGAGCTTTCCAAACAGGATGCGAGAAGCTTCCCTAACAGCGGAAGGCATTATCGACATGGGCGCAAAGGCTTATCCTATTAGGTCACATCTTTCCGATGCTTTCGGCATCGCAAGAAAACGATGATGCGTCTTTGTCGCGAGAGCAGTCCTCAAGGGTGCCTGAGTACGGATCTACGCGCCCTATAGCATATCATTTCACATCGACGGTTATATCAGTGTGATGCGTATGCCCGCCAATGAGAAAGCAGGCTATATGTTTGGGCCGTGATTGTCACTGTGTGTAAAAGGAACACGCCCAAGTATTAGCATCGCGCTGTTTTAGGAAGTAGAACATGTCCGGCGCTATCAGCGCCACGACAGGGCTTGCACAGTAGCTGAAAACGTAACGAGGTACCGGCAGCGATGCACTCAGCTTCTGAGCAGGTCGCAAGAACACTTGATGGCGGTCGTAAGTAATCATTACAATCCCAGTCTTCCTGTGACAAGTCAGCCGTTGCCGAGAGTCTGTCAGGTTAATCGGCACCTGCGAAGGTCATTCTATCATGCGATATCGTCTACGATCAAACCGACGGCCAGCGACTTCTTCAATGAGTATCAAGTATTAGCGCTTCGACAAGCAGTTGGCGGCTGGTTGTTAGTAGAATTTATTGGGATCGAAATTAAGAGAAAACTTGAAGATCACCGTGTAGCAGTCGTTCATGGACCAGCACGTCTACGTAACATGCGCATGTTCTACGACAGCAGCTAGCATAAGGCCCGGAATTTTCTCACGCGCACGACAGGTGCTCCGCTTTATAGCCGATTGTCGTAACAAGTAAAAATCAAGGAACGAAGTGCATGTCGGTTTCTAACATGTGGTGTGCATGAGCATGATGAGCAGACACAAGATAAACTCCACGTACCGAATGGCTTTCCTTCTTTTAGACCTGGATGGTCCCTTCTGGAGTGTGAACCTCAACATCTCTCAGGACATGACAGAGTTACTCACAGTACTCCCGACGCGCGATCCAATAGCATTCCCTATTCAATAAATCGCGGCATAAACCGTGCCGCCTACGTTCCTATGCTCTCATTGCTCTGACTACAACCCCTCGCTCACCAGCAACAGCCTTACCCAAACCCGAAAGCACCACAGTACTATTATCAACGATGACCAAACGGCGCTGAACAGACCTAGAGGAGGCCGAACGTTCATTTTGTCCGTAGCACGGGCATTAGTTTCTGGGCTGGACGTTGAGCAAGTAGTAATAGATTCTCCAACTGACCGTGCGGAGGAATTGACCTGTTGATTGTTGGTGCTGTCGGCTGACATAAGGGACTGCCGCAGTCGTATCAGTATCGATGAGTCCGCTTTCTCCTTCCACCACATCTTCTCTCTCTTCCCTATTTCATGTGGGCACACACGGGTAGTATTCATGTAGGACTCGCGAAATACCTCGCATATCGTCTGCCATCTCAATTGTGTTCGTGGGACGGAAAGTATGTTGCAAAATACGTCCGAGTTATGCGCGAGTGTAGACCTGTAGATACAGACAGCAGTGATGAGTCTTCCACTCCTAGCACAATATTTTCGCCCTCGGCCCAGATCTCATCGTCGCGTGTCAGCTGCTCAGCAGGTTAGATGTTGACAGTATGGCTCGTCAGGTCAACTCAGCAGGCCGAAGAGTCAGAATCAAGTCGCTCGTGATGGACTGACAAACATCGTATGGAATGAAAAGAGAGGTAGGCGTCGCTAGGTAGTGAAAAACCCTGAGTCAACCGGTGTTAACTGGCGCTCAAATATTCAACCGGCGCCAGAGCAGGTGCGACCTATGGGCGTCTTCTTGGACTTGAATTCCGCACTAGTCAACGTTTGATTCATGTCTTCGGCACGGCCCCAACATACCGGCTGCATAAAATACGGCATTAGAGACCCCCGGCTGATCGTCTGGCGGAAGTGCCGCTCATTGTAGTCCTAAAGATTCAATTATTAGGTTTTTGAATTCATATATCTCGTCATCTGCTACGGAAACTATGTCAACAACTTTAATACGCAACTGTATCAATGTACTTAATCTCGCAGCATATTATTTGGTAGTCCAGGGGTTCACAAATGTCCTTACTCTCGTGCCATGTCGGTGTATGGGAGGAACCTATTACACCAAGTAGTTGTGCAACTCTCGGATGTGATTACATCCGTGTGAGTTAATCTTCGAACTAGGAACAAGTTGCAGCGAGATCGAAATTGTCCTCGCAGTGGCGCCATTATGCTCATTTTGATGACGAATAGGTATGAAATGGAATGGTGTCACTAGTCATATCACAAATTATACACGCGATCCTCGGTATTTACAGTCGCACAGTAACTTTAGAGCAACACGGTCGCTCTGCAGCTCTACGGGTTTCGGGAACAACAATTTGTCCTGATAGCCCCAGCGTGCGATACAGACTCATCTCATTGCTCTACATGCCCGACTGGACCTCGGATATCGATTGGGGTAGGGTAGCAGTCGCGGCCGTTGCTGTTTTCGTGATATCCAGGGTTGTCAAATACCTTCAAGGATTGCGGGTGAGTTGCCAGCATTCCTTTCATGCTTGGTCCAACGTCCCGTCAAGTGGAATGAGACGTGGCCAGTCCTAAATGGGACCGAGTAGTAGATCTCATTTAAATAATTTGCTTCCAGACCGTTAGCTACTTACCTGGCATGAGATGTGCATTCCCTCCGTTCTCCATTCCCGGATTGATCAACCCATTCAACCCGGGACTGAGATTCTATTGGAAGCGACGTTTTCATGACTGTGAGGCTCAATGTTTATTTAGCACTCTTCTTTTGGATGCTGATGAAAAGTTTTAGTTTATGAACAGTTTGGGTCCGATACCATTTCAGTTGTTCCATGGCTTATTGGACGGCCTCAAATTAATACAGTCGATCTCGACGTTGCACGGCAAGTAGTCGCAGGTGGCGCTAAAGCCCCATGGCACAAAGTGGATATCCCAATCCTCGAGTAAGAGAGCTGTCTCGTTTCCATCAGCTCTGCTGATAGCTTTGGTATAGTGAGTGGGGAAAGAACTTATTTACTACGGAGAATGAAGTGTGGCAGAGACATAGAAAAATTATTGGACCTGCTTTCAACAATGATATGTGGGTTAGCAGTTCCGTTTGATCATTAGCTTATTTTGATTGTTTATAGGTACTCTCTCGTATGGGAGCGTACGATACAGCTATATCATGATATGATGAAACATGAGGAGTGGTCTGATGCGGAGACCGTGCGTATACCTGTCGTGCAAACTATCACTTCCAAGGTATTTCGTTTGCGTTTTGAATTTCAAATTGGAATAACATGTATATCCCAGCTCGCATTTCTAGTTGTTTCTGTTTGCGGATTTGGAATTAAAACATCCTGGTCGGATTCAAGAAGGATAAGTAGTAGCGAGATGTCAATCTCAGAGGCGTTGCACGTTTTCACCTCGTTGTCGCCATTCAGGTTTACCCCGCATTGGATGAAACTACCCTTCAAGACGTAGGTTGTTTGTATAATTTCTCCAGGTTCTACTCCATAAATGAGATTGATCTCAAATCAGACTGCGTAACATGCAGACTGCGCGTCGGGTATTGGACGTATACACGAAAACGCAAGTGACTGAACGCAAGGCCTTGGTACGGGGACAGGTAGCAATGAAGGAAGAAGGTGATCGCGATGTCTTCACATTATTAGTCCGCGCGAACGAGATCAATGCGAACTCGATCCAGGATAAGAAACTTATGATGACAGATGACGAGTTGGTAAGCGAGATTCTAGAAAAGTTGCACCTAGCACTCAGTTAGTTCTAGATAGGAAATGTATTCCTTTTGTTGTTTGCAGGACACGAGGTACGCCCGAATTATGCGTATAGTGTACGTATGACGAAACTGCACTCCTTCAGACAACGGCCCATGCGTTAGCAGCAACTTTTGCTCTCCTGGCAATTCATCCGGAGGTACAGGAAGACATCTATCAACAGATCATCGAAGTAGTTGGGTCAGATAGGGATCCGGTAAGTTGTTTCCCAAGTGCACGCACTGTGTGTAGTATCCACCATAATTCGAGCCCTCTTATGCAGGGTTTTGATGAGTACCATAAGCTAAACAAAGTGCTGAACGCGTTCTATGAGGCAAGCCGCATGTTCCCGGCGTCCTACACACTTACCCGTATAGCTACGGAGGACACTGCGCTAGTTATTCCGAGTGTTGTTGAATTGAAAAAAGAGACATCGGTAGTGGTGCCGAAAGGGACGATGGTGAGTAGGCAACATTCCAGGTTGCTGCTCATGCATGAACTTATATCTGGATTGGCGTGCAGGTGATTGTCGATGTTATGGGATTAGGTAGGCGATACCACAGAACAAGCGGGTTATTCACGCCATTTTCTCAGAAAACAACCCACGATACTACACCAAGCCAGAGAGGTTCATGCCTTCACGTTGGGAGGATGTGAACCAGGCCGGTCAAGTGACGTCGTTTAGCTTTGGTAGGTTTTTCATACAAAGTCATCGGTCTGCAGGCTTCTGAGCTACTTCTGTTTCGCAGGTCCACGCAACTGTATTGGACGACGATTCGCCACAACGGAAGCCGTCGCATTTATTACTATGTGGTTACGCGACTGGAAAATTGAGCCCTTGCTCAATGGTAACGAGACGCAGGAGCAGTGGCGCAGAAGAGTTATCGACGCAAAAATCTCCTTTACTCTTGGGATTCAAGATGCACCGCTCCAGCTTAAGCGCAGAACTCATCTGTAGTCAAGCAGAACGATCCGTCAAACAGGAATATCGAGGCCTGCAAAGGCATATGTCAACGTGGACTTCTCTGCTCTCAGAGACTGGTTGATTATTGATTACTTCTCGTTACACATCTATCTGATATTTGAACAATAAATGTCTGCCAGGATAGTAGGTAGGACTTATCATCAGCCTTAAGAATGAAGCGAACAATGTGGTGGTGGTGCAAGACGGGGATAATGAGCATGGTTAAGAAGCGGCCATGGCAAAGCGATCTTGATGTTTTCAGGCTCCTTCGGCCCCAAAGCAACCACGCTTTGTTCAGCATGATGACGCGGACACTTTGTCACTCATCTCACTGTATAAATGCCTCGTTCAGAAAGGCAGTCGTAATAGTCTCTAACATAAACTGGTAGATACGTCAGGTAGACCCAGTATCGAAGTTGAAGGCAGGACGACAAACTTGAGCTGAAAGCACGGACGTCGGGTTACGAAGCGCCCAATAGAACTGTCAAGACTTGCGACTCATTCTTCCGCCGCCAGGTCCAAGTCTGCTTCGTCGTCTTATTTCGTGATGAATCCTGATCCTCCTGATGTTGGCACAAACACGGAATCCAAAAAATGGCCTCTCAACGAACCTCAACCTCAGTATTTGAGTATCTAGCTGCGCACTAATCACCGAGACAAAGCGCGATGACGACTTTTGAATGCTGGATGGGAATATGGTCTTGATTGTGGAGTCCCCTGCCCCACAAACCGATCCTTTTGCACACCTCTAATGTCTTCTGTGACATGCTCTCTGTTTCGCAGCTTGAAGAAGCCGAGTCATTTGGAGATTAGCTCCGTCTCCACGATCAGTATGAGGTATATCCATGTGCTGCTACCTCGCCCGCTCTACAACAGCCCACATACGCACCATCACAATCCATTACTGATGATTTCGGATTCAAGCACGAAGACGGCTCCGATAGGATAAATCGCATAGCAGCAACTAGAGAAATAGACGTACGGCACATCCTATAGTGAAATATTGAAACGTGCACACCCTTCCATGAATTACTGTCCTACTACGACCAGATGTCAAAATTTGTTGGCTCGCAGAGATGCTGCATCCACGTGTCAGTAACTACTTAATAGTGTAGCGTCGGAGTACCAACGTTGAACATTGTCGCATGTTCCAACCCAGCAGTACCGATCTGTTTGCGACAGTAATATCCATGCCTGAAGTATGTGGCTGAGTTCAGTGGATTCCAAAGGGGTAAGGATGTCAACACACCTGCAATCCGGCATGATTGGGATGCCGTCTACACAAAACGGATTGAAATCAAGCATTATTGTCTGATAAAGAAGAGATTTACCGCTGCGCTTGCGCTTGAGCCACCATATTGGCATAGTTTCTGATATAAACTCCTGGTAACAATCCAAACAAATCCAGTCTTCTTTCGACCACTGTGCATATTTTTCGCTCTTGCTGTCAAATAGAGCATCCATGAGTGTGTTGAAATCGGTCTGTCGGAGAGTGCGCGACATCGCCGACTCGGCATGATTTTGTGACAGCACGCCACCCAACAATCCGTAGTCAGCGGCCATCATACCACCCAAATAGTCCCAGTCTGTTCCCGAAGTCCATATCAGCGAATACTAATTGGTAAAGGAGACACACTGGTGCAGTTCCACAACATTGTTCCCGATTTCGATCCTGGAAACATCTCACGCGCAGAGCTGCAGCTCTTACCTTTCAAGTTGAAATGGTCAGCGGCCAGGACTCATCAATAGAACAGAACAAGTGTAATACATGCATTTATCATCCCTTCCATTCTCAGAATCTAATATGGTTTGCAGCCATTTGGGAATCCTGTTACTTGTATTATGACCAGCATCCGTGTTTGCAGAGTATGCATCAGATAGAGATCTTTTGAGGGGGGTGGTGAGGAACTCTTCATATAGATCACACTGGTTTGAGTCAGATATCATCCCCATATAGATAGGATTCGGGTTGATTTCTTCATAGCTCTGGAGTATGGCGCGAGGACCAGCGAAGAGACATATATGCTTGATGTCATCTTCTATCTGATGAGCGTATATTCCGTCCACGAAACAAAATACAAACCGACACTCACCCTGATCGATGCTGCTCTTAAAATGAGCAGTCACAGCCCAGTCTGCAATTATCTGCAAGAATTTCACCACTGACTCTATCTGACGAAGCTCAGCAGCAAGAAAGGTGTCCAGAACTTCCTTCTGCTCGTTTAGCCATTTCTCCGAGTCCGAATCCTCGGAAACAGTACGTGCGAACCATGGCATCGTAGGCCGCTTAAGGTAATGTCCCTCCATTCCGTATACGTATGATATCAACCAGATTCGATATAGTGCACGGCGAAAGCGCCATGATTCCACCGGAGACAGAACACTCATGCGAGATGTTCTGTCCTTAAACCTGAAAAACACATGGTTCAGGACGTGAAGACGCGGCCTTGGTGCACTGACCTCCAGCTGAACAGATCTTCCAATGCAGACACCACGCTTGCATTCAACGTGAGGATACGTTGTTCCTCACGAGTAATAGCTTGCGCGGTAATGGTGTTTTCTCGCGGCAATTCATCTGCGGCGCGAAGAGTCAGTCGCGAGGCCTGGCAGCGCGCCAGGCGCAAAGCTTGCGGAAACGCAGGTCCTAAGGAGCTGTAATCTGGAGTGGTCATGTAGATAAGATGGACGCAAGATTGGTGAACCAGCGCTAGAAGCCTCGTTGAATTTTGAGAAAGTCGTTGAGGCGCTCGGATCCAGCCGAGCGTGAACTATGAATGGGACGTAATGGATTTCAATGAGCCCGGACGGGCCCCCAGGAAATGCTTGTTGTTGTCCTGCTGTGAGGAGCACGCGATGTAGAGATGTCATCTATTCAGAGATACGTGTACTCGCATGCTGGGACGAGCACAACTTTGCTACCTGTGACAGAATAACTTGCCGGATCCGTCTAATGCGTTTCAAAAACGGATAAACATAATTCAGCCCTTTCTGGTTCTTAAATGGCTTGAGTTCCAGTTTGAGTCCACTTGGTAGGGGTAATAATCGAAAGGTTTTAGGTAAAGCTGTACCGAACCGTCAAATCGCACGAGGCGCACAGATATAATCACCAATACGCACATTTAGAACGACCCAAATTAGAATTTTTTCTTAGAGTGGCTTAGACCTGTCCTCAACAATGCAAGATGGGTGGAGAGAGAGAGAGAACAAACTCACTGCGTCACACTGACTCGAAACTAGTTCTCAAACTTCCAATGGGCACCCTTCATTATAGTGAGTCGTCCCTAACGCGAATACGAGGTTTCCTACCGGGAGAGGAATACCGCCGTAATGGGGCTTGAAGGAGATACATAATATAAGACGTAGGTCCACAAACTAGCATGATTTGCCTCGGACGTGGAGACTGCACGTGTTAACGCTCACTAATCGCTCAAAATAGGCTTATAATGAACGATCGCATCCAGACATATACAATCACATACGATGCTATCAAGCGCACTTCCGTGTCCTGAGCGTTCATTACAAACTCAGCAATCCTGCGAGGTCCAAGACTCGGATATCCCTCTGGTCAATCCATCATGGCAGAAACGAAGTCGGCTTCTAGCACGAATATCCTCACTTCTTCTGCTCCTTCACAAAGTTCATCCAGCATAGTCCAAATGTGAGATGATTCAATGTCTGGACGTCCTCATCAATTGATAACCTTTAAATATCCCCTCTCCTTGACGAAGACATGCACACACATCTCGACTTTATGGTCTTGTAGCTAGATTGTCCATGGTATCTTGAGTCGGCACATAAAGTGAGAAAGTTTTTTGAACTGATGGCAATGCGTGATAGGGGCGGTGCTACTGAGGCCGGGTGCAATAAGGACCGTGAACGTCCTGAGCAACTGAATAACCGCCCCAACCCCTTACGGTCGAAGGACCGGAGACAGCGAGACTGGACTGGGATTAAAAGATGACAGCCTCATGATCGCAGCCCCAAAAATGTGAGAAGACAGTGGGAGATGGGACTATGTAGAAACAAGTTCGGATGTCGCACGAGGTGAGAGTGCAGATATTGACAGATCTGATTGGGAGTGCATTGTCGGGACTGTGAAGGCGCGTCACTACAACATACTTCAGAAACGAAGGCAAGAACTAACTAGTACTTTCCCAGAGGCTTGGATCGTCAGCTTCCGCCGAACCACGTATGTCGGAGGTGTCGGACATCCCGCGAGATCTGACGCGTGTATGTGCTTCGGATGATAGATTTTCACCGTCATTTCCGTAGGTCCTCGGACGTCCAGCAATGTCGTCTTGTACGTTGGTATGATTTTGACTAGTGGAAGTCCGATCCTTGTCTTTCTGAGGACGGGCTCCAGCTGGACGTTTCTGACTAGAAGCCTTACATCTGCGTGAGCATCTGCAATACACGTACAATACGATGACAACTTACTATCACCACGCGCAGAGCCCTGGAGATACAGTATCCCAGTGAGATACAGAACAAATAGAAGAAAGGAATGGCGCAACGACATACCGAATCTGAAGACTGCGACAGCTGCAAAGCGTTGCAACGCTGTATATACCAGCAGACGTTGCATTGCTGAGAGCTTGGTGCATGGCCTGCTTGACAAGCGACTGTAGGTGTGTCAGGTCATAGATACTTGAAAGCAACAGGAGCTGGCTCAGGACAGCTGGAGCCCGTTGCAAAGGCGTAATCAAAGCGGTCGAATAAAAGTATTGTACGAGCGCCAGCGCGACTGGGTAAGGCTCTGAGAGACAGAAAGAGCGGGGTGTCAGCCGGGGATCTGGGCGTTGCCTTCGCTGGTCGTCGACGCCGAACAAATCAGGTGGCCCCACACGTAAATAGGCGAGTACGGACTGAGCGAACAGCCTGTGCTGCTCCTTGAACCATGGCCATCGCTCCTCCAGCAATTTGCGGGAACACTTGATCCTACGGTCGTCATTGCAAATGATCTCAAAATCTGCAAGTACGCCCTCCTCCAATGCGGCAAGGCCGAGCTCTTGCGAACGAATATTAATAATAGGTGAGGGAGGCTGGTAGATGCCGAATGCTTCGAGATCAATAGATGTAACATAGTCCCAGTTGAGAAGACGGCGGTCATAGTCCTCTACCAGATTCCCGTTCTTGTCCCCGAACACCAGAAGCTTATTTTGAGTAGACCACAGACAGCTGCGAAACCATGACCCTGTAGCGAGGGCACTGCCGCGATCGATCCGTATCCACGACATGTCGAGGAGATCCAGAGCCCATATCGAGAATGATTGATACGTGTGCGAGATGTAAGTACCTGCGACAATAAAATACGTCCCAAGAACTGCACCGGTGGGGAATCGAAGTCCAGGGGGGAATGACGTTCCAGTCATAGTGTTCGAACGATCGGAGACAGCAATGTCTCCGTCAGAAAGAGGAGAAATCACCTGGAACTCACGCTGTACGTCGGTAAACTACGAAACCATCTCGTGAGGATTTCGTGGCAAATCATAATGGACCTGCACGCACGTTGTGATTACTGAATACAAATATGTCACAAGGGTGATCGGACGTTAGAGCTTTAGAATAGGGGAGATGTACAAGTGAATCCGGTCGTGTAACAGAAGGCGTTGGTGCGGCCCCGTTTACCTTGAAGCGAGTACCAGCAATACCAATATCAGAAGTTGGTGATGAGGTTGAGCTTGACTCCTCCTGAGGCAAGTGAACGTGCACATCCGGGGTCACCGCAACGCTGCGGTAAGTGCTACAATGCCGAGAATATTCCCGTCGTTGTAACCAAACCTTTGCAGCGAGATCATAGATATACAAGTCATCCAGTAGGTCAAGTGCCAAATCTTGCCCACCAATGATATACAGACGATCAGCGGAAACAGAACTGAGGTGTGCAAAACGGGCGGTAGGGATGAATGATAAAGGCGACGTCTCTGATGTGGTTATACTCGACGGAAGCCAGTGACCCGTGGTTATATCGAACATTCTTATGTCGTTCAACACGCAAAGGGCTTCTATGGCCTCTGATTGGGGCTTGATGGACCTACCGCCGAAGATGATGAGATAGCTGCGCCCTGTGCAGTGCATCACCATCATGTAGAGACGATGACAGATGCGATATATCATACAGATATTAGCGCTATGAAAATAGCGCGCTGTGGGGACGTCGTCCTCAGGATGTTGGTTCAACCGCTCCCACACGAATGTCTCAAAATCGAATGTGTAGATGTCCGAGACCATTCTGCGCTCGAAGGCCAAACAGCCTCCCTGTCCAAAAGAATCAGATGCGCGCGCCCACATGGATGTACGAATGGGTGACTCACGTAGAGGTACATTTTGGACCCCACCACAGTGGTAGACGCACCCTGTAGCACATGAGAAAAATTGCACTCGCCATAGAGCCATACATACCACAAGTTGTGGGGGAACATCCCCAGTCGTTTTGCGACAAAACGCGGTTAAATCAGAGATCGGATACATAGCAGCGAGAAAAAGAGGTCGGGATTATATGTGTGAGTGGGAGGAGAGATAGCCCCATTCGCCATTATAAAGAGATTGAGCCTCGGAAGAGTCACGTCGCTAGTGGCAATGCCACAACTTGACATTGTCTTCGGCATCACCCGAGTGTATTTATTCCAGATACAGCTCTTCCTTCTCTTCATTTTCCTCTGCCAGTGCGCAACATTCTTTTACCTTTGGGATAGAGGCTGCCCTCTACTTCGAAGTATGCATCCTAGTGATAGAAAACAAGAGCCAGACTGTAGTTTCATCACAACTTGATCTTGCTCGTCTCTGCTATTTGGCTGTTTGGTGTATACAAGATGCGGTAGCTTCTCTATTGGCCAATGCACGTCAATGTCAAATAAACCTCGTATAATTTGCTCGGTTGCCTTCAAGTTCCGATTCGAAGATATATGATGGACTGATATATTTGCTGCGTCATTTCCACGACATCTACAATCTCAACTCCGCCAACTATCAGATTCCTGTTACCAGAATGCGTTGACATGCAGTCACCAGCATGGCAAGTCAAATGTTATTCATTTTAAATCTTCACCTCATGAAGACGATGTGAGCACAACATTCACAGCACACACTACTTGCTACAAGCAGCGTGATCAGATCAGTTGACAGACATACCCCAGTCCGAGTTCATCTGTATTGTCATTGATGAAGAACATGGATATAATTACAAGTACGAGCACAATGACAGTCGCCGGTGCGGCGCATCGGAATATATTCGGAGGAGGCTAAGGAGAGGAGCATTTCCTTTGCACTTAGATGTCCGCTGATGATATAATTGAGCTGACGAGCGCGTAATTGTGGCATTACGACCATTACACAGCGGTCTCTCTCTACTCCGAGTCCCTCTAGCTATGGATATTGAAGAAATCCCTATCGCTGCGATTGCAGAGGCGCAAAAATCAATGTTCAGACAAGGCTTCCCGTCCAGCAGAACCCAGGCTCTTGGTCTTAGTTGTGATCCGATGGACTACGTTGGCTTAAAGACAGTGGAGACGTTGTGATGGGTGTAGAAAATACTGGATTTTGTGTCCTAAATCTCATCTATCATGCAACTCTGCTTTAATCTATGACATGCTCTCGGTTCCCCAGCCTACGGATGCGGAGACGACAGTGGAGGACTGCCCAGTAGTCCGCCACCCTGATCGAGTACAGGATATGTCCTATATGATATTCGTTCGTAAGTCACATGCCTCATTGTAGATTTTTCTTGCAGTCTCCATCCCGATTTTGTAGATTTTTTGGTGCATTGTACTACCAGTCCCGTTCGACATAACTGTCTCATCCGTCTTTGCCCCAAGTGCCAGATGGAAGATATCTGCTCAGCTGCGATTAGCTAGTTATGCACATGTTTCTCTACCTTACTATCGCCGGGATGCTTTTAGGTGGTCAAGAGTGGTCAAGAGTCCCGCCAAGTACCGACATTTTGGTGCCACTACCGGAATTCATCAAACGTACAAGGGGTTCTGCAAATCCACCTTCAAAACGCTGAAAAATATAACCACCATAGAGCGAAGGAAAGTCCGATACAATCTTCACGCTAATATGAGGGTTTTATACGCTTTTTTGAGTTCATAATTTTCTGCCATTCTATCTCAAACAAAGGGGCTGTCCGGATCCACATGGCAAATTAGCGCTTACGGTCAAGACGAGGTGTTCAAATTGTTTCAATGATCTTGAGGTATTTCACCCCTCAACGTTCACTTTGACTCTACGTTGTCATGTTATTCGTTGTAGGCTTGTCGCTAGCTCTGTGTGTATGTATGAGATGACGAGATGTTAAACAGATCTGTCTACAGTAAGTCAGTCACAATCGTGAAACGTGGCTGGCCAACGGCGTTCGCAACATGGCTATGATCAGATCAAGTACAGTGCTATAGTCACCCTTTCTGAGATGGTGTTTGTCGGCGTCGACTCTGCGAGATGAATCCACTAATTCATTTCGTCAACAAATATGGATTTGTGATATTCGGTAACTAGTGCTAATATCATGTGTGAATGGACCTGGGTTAATATCTATAATACAGTTGTATCTTGGGTAGGGCTAGAATGAAGGGGGTATGTGATATGCTACATCATAATGCTACAATGCGATTCTACGAACACTTCAACGTCCACGCGAAAGCACGAATAACTTACGGATATACACCGGATCTGACGCCCAGCTCTGTGCTCAGTCAACTACTACCAGCCCGTCGTAGGCTGGCCGCATCACCGCTTTCCTCATCACATTCAGCGGATTGAACACCTCAACCAACTCCCATCCTGCCTCTTCTTCCTCTTCCCCTCCCTTTTCCTCGCCCATGAACATCTTCAACATTGACGGCGAGAACCCATTCACCAGCGCCACGCCCTCTCGCTCTGCGGTCACATCTGTCGTGGCATGATGTGCCAAGTTCCAATAGACGATTTGTGGAATATCGTACCCCGCCTCGGCGTATGCCTCCACAATGTGATCGTGGTTCGTCTTCCAATCCGACTCGTCAGAGTTCAAGTCGTGGCGGCGCGCATCGTCAAACTGCATGTCCGAGAAGACGAACAGACGCTTAATCATGTCTTCCTTCGGCACCTTATTCTTCACCGCAAGCGGCAGCAGAAGCTTGAGGAACACCGCGTTGAAGTCGGTATTCATTCCCCACGCACTGCTTTTCATCAGCCCCATGGTGTCCTTCAAAGACAGTGCGGGATCAAGCTTAACGAACTGGGGCGCCTGTGAGAACGTGATAAACCCATCGCGGAACGGCGGGTTGGCAACCCGCGCGAGGAGAATCGACAGTGCGATGGCAGGGTAGAGCGGGCGTGGAGGTTCCTTGCCGCGCGTAAAGCACATGTCCAGAGACATCATCGATTCCGACACATCGCATATCGCAAGCGCATTGTCGAGCGATCCAAAGCCCTTCACCCGGGCAACAAGCGCATTCCACTGCGCCTCGAGCGTGCGTATCTGCATTTCTGCCAGGCTCTTCCTGAACTTCTGTAACTCGCGGGACTTGGTATCTGCCCTCCGTATATCATTCGACAAGTTCACGATTGTTTTGAGGATCTCGTGCGGAAGAAGCGTTGCGCCAGAAATGGTTTTCTTCCCGCTCTCGACGTCCATCAGGTATTGCTCAAACCGCTCCGCATCGCGCCTGTAGAACTGCGCTGTGTTGTTCTTCATGCAAACCGATGCGACGCGGTTGTAGCGGATCGAAGACCACTTGTTAGCCGACATGAGTGGCTCGGGCACAAGTGTAATCTCACGAAGACGAGAAATGATCCAGCGCTGGTAGTACGACCGCAGAACCAGGGCCTGCTCTACATTTGCGGCCGTGTGCGCAGCATCAAACGACGCGAGCGAAGATGGGAATGGCTGCTTGACGAGCCCGCACGAATGGTGCAGTAGTATAGCGACTGCAGTCGCGATGTTCGTGTGGCGGTCATGCGACGCACCAGGGCTCGGCGACCATTTGCCAGCAAGGGAGATCTTCTTGTAGAGCGCTATACGGTCCGCCTCCGGAGTGAGATGTATGCTCTCCCACATCACGTTCATGTCCGCAATGAGCTGAGCAGAAAAGAGGCGAGCGACGGCAATGAATAGCGCACGGTACTTGGGATCCTTCAGCCGCTTCACCAGGATCTCGTGGCGCTCTTCAGCCATACGAACACGCTTCGCCTTGGCCTTCATTTCGTCGACTTGTTCGTTACCGCCTGCCTTCTTTCCCCTTTCGTTGCGGTGGCAAAACGGCTGCCGAGGATAGTGAAGGAAGGTGGCATTGGAGGATTCAAGCTCGTCGGTGGTAGCCAGTGCGAGGATGTTGAGCAAGTCCTTCCAGTAGCCGTGAGCAAATGATAGCTCCCGCTTCTTTTTGTGCGGGCAGACAGGGACGACGAGCATCGAGAGGTTAGAGATAGCAGTACGGGGGTGGTGCTTGTACAGCCATCCAAAGCGCTGAGAATATGTTAGGTGCATGAGACAGCGGATAGGGAAATGAACATACCGGTAGAATGCCTCCTTCTCGCCCTTGCCTTCGTGAATACTCCGAAGCTGCCAAATGAGACGGAGCGTCAGAAGAGGGTCTACTTCCCATGATTTTGTGAGCAATGCGCTCATATATTCATAGTCGCTCCAAGAAGTAAGTCCTTGGAATGCGTCGAGAGTAGGGTCCAGCGTCGAATCATACGTTGGGGCGTTATTTTCCGTCAATGTGCGATGAGCAGTCGAATTGAGTGCATTCATCATGGCGTTGTGGGGTTTCGGGGCATCGACCGATTTTTCAGGAGCGACTTGAAGGGCAGCAGGGAGAAGTATGTCAAGAAAATTGGGGTTGAATAGTTCGGGAATGTAGGGAAGCGTGAACTTTTGGGTGGTGGCAACAGCAGAGACGGTAGTGGCCATTCTGAGAGTCGAGAGTTGTGTCTGACACGAGGTGAGGGTCAGAGAGCTGTTTCGTACAAGACGAATGAGAGGAACTCCTCTCATTCCCCTCTTAAAGTATATTGACTTTGGCTGCGCATCGCCTCAGCATCTGTGACTCGTAACCAAGGACAGACCTAGTCAGTTGACTCCTGAAGAGTCAGGCTGATTCCGTACGTGGTGACGCGGAAGCTGGCGGAGCCGAAGCCCTCAGCGACAAGCAGGAGCTCCGAGTTATTAGAGCGGTTATACGGAGTCAACGGTGGCGGTACCAGAGAACGGCAGATGGCAACGACTTCGAGTTGGGCGTCTCTGAGCTGTAAGACAGCACTCCTAACCCTAGTAGTTAACTAAGTACTGCGTTGTAATGCATGAGGAAGAGGATTTACATTCAGCGTGGCAGGCTCCAGGTTATAATGTGTCATACATTATTCATGCTGTGAGATCAATTCGAGTCAGGACCTTTGTACTGTATCATCGCCTTTTGCGCCAACGAAATATAATTGGAGTCAGAAGCTCTGCCAGAGAAAGTTGATTCATTCCATATCCTTTCAAAAGCCTACAATGAATAATTAGTGACAGCGTACCCAGCATTCTATTTACACTGGCAGGGTTAACGTTAGGAGCATCTGAATCTGCCGATGCTGGATCCGGAGTGGGTGGCAGCCTACGAATGTTTGGCGCTTGCTTTCTAGCGGCGGTCGGGCATCCAAGAAATCCACTTTCTTTCTGCTTCCATTTGGTACTATACATATATATTCTCGAATTGGTTTTCCAGTGAATCGGAGGAAAAGATAATTCAACACGTCTTTCAACGGAAAAGACTTTCGGCACGGTCCTTGTCATGATTGACTTAGGGATTCTACTCCCTCTCGGGTGCTCGTCAATGCCCGTCATCTCGCGCTGTCGCCAAGGACATCAGTAAGGTGGACTTCAGAGAGCTCATGTGTCAGGGACAGAGCATTAGTGGCTGACAGTCAATGTCGGAGGCGCGGCATTGTGTGCATATGAAGTACGTCTCCTTGCTAGAGTCAAATAAGGCTCGAGTCTTGCCTTATCCGTGCGTTTGCCGTGCGGTTCAGATCCTTGATGCTCCAGAGCCACTAGGCCAAAATTCAAATATTGAAAAACAGACGCATGAACGCACGAGGGAAAAGGTTCGAGTTTCCGCGGGATAGCATGCATATCTATTTCACCTCAAATCCATTCGTTAGCGTGAAACGATAAGATAGTCATCGTAGTGACATCAGCTTCCAATCCCGCGCTCCATCCCCTTACAATGAGCTGAAGTCATTGGCTGGATACCGTCTACGTCTATCAGACTCGGGCTCGGGCGGACAGCAATATGGTAGTGAGGATCTCGAGCCCGAGGATTGTCCATGCATGACCAGGTCAGTTTGCTGTTGCTGCTATCTGGTTGTGTCAACTTCAGTCTCGTACGTGCCAAGTCAATGAAATGCAGTTCAATTCGTGCACATTCACGGGTTACGCTTTCTTCCTACACGGGGAGACGAATGGTGGCAGTGATGTAAGTTTCCTTGACTGGAGTCTAGCGTTGGATTTGAGCGCTGGTGTGGTTTGCTTGATCAAAGTGCGACGATTTTTCCGTGCTAGTTCTTCCATGCCTTCTCACACGTACGACCCAAGGGGAGGAATTATATGGAAAACATCGCTTGGCATCAAGTTCTGGCTCCGGACAGCGGGGCACACCGTTAACATTCCCGTGTGGCGACATATCTGCTCGTGATGACTTGGGAGTTCAGCAGATGTCATCCCGTACCCCAAGTTCGATGCTTCGGGTGTTCGCATGTTATTCGTCCATCCTCTTATAACCGCGGCGCCGCGTTCAAGGAGCCGCTTGGATCCTTTCTCTGAAACCCCGCTCATGGCCGCCAACATACCGCGTCCATCTGTCGCCGTCTCTCAGGACAGTCTCGCCGAAAATGCTATCAGTATTTCAGTCTCGGAGGTGCCGCGCATCACTCAACCTTCCTTTGCGATGCTGGGAGATCATCTTCGACCTCCAAACATCAGCGCACGCACTGAGAGTAATTCTAGCACCGCATACGTTCAAGAAACTCCCAAGAAGCGATGGCAGTCAGTGAGTACGCATCTCATCGCAGCTGTTTGCCATGAGTTCTGACCTCCTCGTAGCTCCGCGAAGCGAATCTGCAGACGTCACCGATTGAGGAGGTTGATGGGGAGCAGCCACCCGAGCCACTCATAGATACAGCAGACGCGTCAGCGTGGAGGGAATGCTCTAAGATGGTTTATGCTCATGACCAATCGAAAATCGACAATTGGAACAAGGAGATTGACGCACTGTTACTATTCGTGGGTCCCATTTTCGCTCGGGGTCGCTGTAGCGCTTTAATGTCTGCTCAAGGCTGGCCTTTTCTCTGCCGTCGTCACCGCATTCACCGTCCCATATTACGCTACGCTGATGCCCAGTACTGATCCTACCGCCGCTATTCTAGCTCAAATTTCCGCGCAACTAGCCAGCTTTCAAACCAGCACGGGCTTCGTAAATTCAACAGAACCAGCGTTTTCGTTTCCAGCAACCGATTCGTCGTCACCCGCCGCTGCATCTAGCCTTATCGACAGAGTAAACGCCCTTTGGCTCGCGGCACTCGTCGTCAGCTTGGCTGCGGCCACAATCGCAATATCCCTCAGGCAGTGGCTGAATCAGCATGCCATGCGCGACTGGGCGACTCCACGCCAGAGTGTATTGGTCTGGTGCATCCGCCACAAGGGCTTCAACCAATGGCATGTCGAAGGCATCGTGGCGCTTGTGCCAATCCTGCTGCACTTTGCGCTAATTCTATTCCTTGCGGGGCTGGTAGCATTGCTATGGTCATGGAATCGTACCATCTTTGGTGTGGTAATGGCACTAGCGGGACTCACGTTGTTATTCACGATATACACCACGCTCATGCCGGCGATATTTTTGGAGAACTGTCCGTACAAGTCTCCGCAAGCACTATTGATGGTTGGGCTCACTACAGTAGTGTCGAGGGTTCTCTTTCCGATCTTGTGTTTGATTCCATATCTAGGGTGCGTGTTTTGAGAGATTTGTCTCTCCGCGTGTCTAAAGATACTTTATCCAGGGGGAAGATCTTCTCGAGAACGATCAGTCCCATCCGCACCACATGGGCTGCATACCAACTTGATTGGATTCGGCCATACGAATTTGTCTCGGACTCCTCGCTGCTGGTTAGCGCAGACAATGCGATGATGGACGATACCTTCCTCGATGGAGTCGTTGATGCATATATCAAGGAGCGGAATGTAACTGACGCGTCAGATGCACTCAAAGCGATCTACGATAGTCGCAGCCAAAGCGAAGGCTCGTCCGTAAATCCCACAATCTTGCGCAAACTTCGGTACATGGCAGTGCGCCTTGTGGAGGGGTGCCAATTCGAGGGATCGCTCCCCGAATCGCTTGCATACCTATTGGAACAGAATAGGTATGATTGCGTACCGGAACTATTTGAACGAGTCTTGGACGTGTTTCAGAACCGTGCGAGAGACATGCGGAAGGAGACAAGGACGAGGCTCGTGCGTGTAGTGCTGGACATCTCAAGAACGTACGTTGCGCACGTGCAGGTCCACTGTACGTCTGATTTCAATGGCTATCGCGACTAGCGGGATGATCGATGACTGACTATATGCGCATGTATGACGCAGATTTGCACACCCTACTCTCGTATATACCCCTGACGCTGGCGGACCTGGATGCCCAAACGTTCGTCCGCATTGTCGTCGAGATACTGCTACTCAGTCTTTCCGCGACATCGCTCGACATTGCCGACCGCGATTATGTACGTGACGAGCTGCAGAACAAGCTTCTTGGTCAGCGTCCTATACTTGAATACGAAGATGATGAAAAGTCAGAAGCACTGGGAGGGTTGTCACCTTCCTTCTCCTCGGGCTTCCCTTTCACCGATGAGGTAGAAAAAACACCGGCCTCGCGGAGGAGACATGTACTAGATGTACTGGATGGGTGTTTGGAGATTGCGGAGGACCTTGTTGCGGCGCGTGTAGTGGATATTGAGATCAGGGAGGAGGAGCAGATGAAAAGGGCAAAGAATTGGCGGGTGAAAAGGATATCAAGGTGATTCATCAATTGCTCTTGGAGCTACGACGCAAACTGACAAAACGTAGCACACCCGGAGCTCACCATCGCCTCGAGATCGGTCTTCAAAAGGTAGAAGAATGCACCTCTTGTCGGTCTGAGCAGGCGCGACAACTGGCAGGCAGTGAGCGAGTTGGGTACAGCAAGTGGAGGGAGATCATTGCAAAAATCAAGAAAAACGAAGAGTACGAGGATTTGACGAGCGAGCTGGTAGAGCATGCAGGAGAGCTGTTTCTCCCGGATACAGACTGGAGGAGGCTGGTGGTCCTGTTGCCGGATAGAAAAACGATAAGGGCTGCCGCTCGGATAGGATAGAGCGGATCGCATGTTCCCCAAGCGTCGGATGGAAGTCTATAATACGATTTCTCGAAGAATGGAGAGAATAGATATTTCAAGCTTACAGAGATCTTGCCCAGAGTCAACAGCAACAACGTCCACGGCTTGAAGGTGGTGGCTCCCTCAGATAATTTTGCGCATACTATTTCTCTCTGCCGGAGCTAACGCCACAGGTCAGGAGAAACGGACTCGAATAGAGTTTTCTGGGGGACGAATGGAACGTGGGCTGGGTGGATGTGCGATACACATGGTCGATGAACCTTCTCCACAGTTCAATGCCAGGAGAGCTCGAGGTTGCAGGCAAGCGCCTATGCGGAAAACGCTGGCTGGGGCCACATCGCCGGTTCGAATTCGATAATCTGCCTACATGGACTCTATGGTAGTACCGAAGTAACATTTTCTGAGCCGTGCTATAAATTTCCGAGGACGATACGTCCGTGGCGTAATGTCACATCTGATCACAGGTGTGTCTGAATCCGTCTGTGGGTATCACCGCTTCTGAATGAGCTCAAGAGTGCCATGTTGCTAGACACTCCCTGTCAAGATTGTATAGATAGTGTGCTCCCGTGGTCGTGTCTCTGGACCTATTAGCATACTATTAGATCTTCCGTGGATGCTTGTGGTGTCCAGAAACACGAGGCACTATTCATGGATCATCACGCGCACACCATGTCCTGGAAGAAGATGCATTACATCGTAGACCCATGACCTAGATTCGCATTCAAGAGCGGTATATATAATGTATACATTGTGCGCACCTTCTTCGCTACATTTCATCTCTATTATCTTCACAGCAATATGTCCTCCGACACCGACCCTGTTCTCAATGATCTCCTAAAGAAAAATGAGAAATGGGCAACAGATAATAAACACCTTTTCCCTCAAGATTCACAGTCTCCAAAGGTATGCGTTTCAGTCACTGATTGACGCATCGACCGCTCTGTGGCCACACCGTCACTACAGGATTTACTTAACATATTCGATACATCTATAGGTCCTTTGGATCGGCTGCGTTGACTCTCGTGTTCCGGAGTCAGTCGTGACGCTTTCGCAGCCAGGAGATATCCTAGTACACCGAAACATTGCCAAGTATGTCCTCAATCGCCACTTGGCGCTACGTATGAACTTACCTCACCCTCGCGCTGCTAGCCTTTTCCAATTAAACGATGACAGTGCTGTCTCTGCGCTCCATTTTGCGGTCCAAAATTTGAAGATAACTCGTATCGTTATCGTTGGGCACACCGATTGTGGGGGCGTTCACGCAGCGTGTCGTGCTGCGCACGATGGTACTGTCATCCAACCTCCGTGTCTCGCCCGTTGGCTCGACCCGGTAGTCCAGCTTGCGCAGCGAACTCCCAGGAACTTTGCGAGACTGATTGAGGAGAACGTACGAGAGCAAGTCAAAAACGTCATCAAAGAGATCAAAAACATGTCGCTGGATATGAACTTGGAAGTGCGAGGCTGGATCTATTCGGTTGAGGATGGGAATTTGCGTGTGCTGGATGGTGGGGCGTAAGGCTAGTACCTACCTTTCATAAGGGTTCTACGACCGATGAGGAATTCCCAATGATGTATCTTGGGAACACAGTCTCTGTACACGAAGAAAATGTTGCAGACGGGTCTCTAAGAATCAAACGACGTGCCAATGTATTTCAGCTGTGAGGTAGAATGCGAAGGATGATGTTGCAATTACACCTGCAGTGAGCCCGGTCGGGGCAAGATGGTCAATGAAATGCTGATGAGCTTTGAGCGTGGTTCCCTTTCAGTGTCAGGTGTGCGTATTCTCGGAAATTGAAGAACTCTTGGCTTGAAAGGTGGAGTCAATCACCACGATGGGCCAAATACACCATCCGTTCTGGATTCGTCACTCTACCAGTGAAAAATACTCTAGTTTAATGCGTGACGTACATGCACTCATGTCTCTCGACGCCGAATCAGCAGAAACGGCGTTTGCAGCTCGGCCGCTGTTGCACAACGTTTAGCACAAGCGATACGATGAGACTCAATCTAAGACGCGAAGGTACCTCTTATTCTATTCGCAGTGCACAATTCTTGGCTAAATATCGTCTCACCACAAGTGAATACAACACCATCAAGGCTGCGTGCAATGAATGTCGTGAGCGATGAGAATAGCGTAAATAGGCAGCCTCCAAGGAGCTCCTTCTCGCTCAACTGGTGCAACATATATAGAGCGATATAGATAGTGTGTTCGTCAGCCGTGCCAGGTTGATAGCAATGACAGTAGTGACTCCATCGACGGGTCGAGCCTTGAATGACACCTCGTTACTGCCAGCGTTTACCACGATAGAATCCCATCCAGAAAAAGTGCTCGGGAAACATGTCCGTAGGCAGTTGAGTGAAACGTCGAGCAGCAGCCCCAGTTGGTATTCGTGCCCAAGACGCACGAGAGCCACTAGAGTTGCGAAGGAGACTTGTTCTACATCGAGATACCTTTTAGACTATATAACTAAGTCGTCCTTGCGGCTTGATTGATAACGGGACAAGAACGCACCTCTTCCCATCATATAACGCGCGCAAGAGTATCGGGAAACCATCGATGTGGTTGGAGAGGCAAACAATTGAACAGACATCAAATTTTACTTCGTTGTCCGTCCATAGGGTGAACAACCGACAGCATGTCGAAAAACACGCCGGAATGGCGCGAGGACAGATTTGTGGACACGAAGTACGCTGCCTTGAACGACGAGCACGATGTTTCCATCATCAAGCCAAAACTCTTCATCGCGCGTCCATGCCAGTGGTGAATACTCCGAAGACGTGTCAGCTTCGGTGCGACCTCGAGCCAAAATGTGAGCGCTTGAGTAAGCAATGGGTTTTGGTGGATGAGCAGGTCGAGAAAAGTTCAGGTTAAGAATCGACTAGGACAGGAGAGGGAGGGGAAGAGTTATTGTGCAGCATGATCCGGATGCGACAATGCATGTACGACTGGATAAGTAGCTTCGGAGGTCGAAAACCTCGTTGAGGGAGAGCTTACGTGATCATTCGGTCGACCGTCAACCTCTGCGAGTCTGCCCAATATACCCATGTAGACTTGTACAAGTCTTCTGTTTGCTTGCTGCTTGCTCGTTCCTGGCCAACTGCGCTCGTTCTGCGCTGCGGTGACCTAATTATCGGCAGCTTAGGCAAGTGAGATGAGAAGTAAGCGAGTTTTGCAGACTGTTACGAGGTCCAAATCATCGTTGACACTTCAGGATTGGCTATGGCGGCATATCATAGTACGTCGCCGTTCTGCGTCGCTGTATTATCCCATTATATCAGGCTGAGAGGTTTTTGTTGTCCCACTACAGATGTTTCCGGCTTCAGATGTTCGAGTGGCCATGGAAGCTGAGAGAAAGCCGAAGAGGAATTGTGGGCTTTCGTGGAGAAGAATTTCGAGAGAAAACGTGGTTTATGCAGTCTTAAAGAACAAAGCGGACTCGTCAAGCTGAGGTCCCACACCAGATCGGGATTTCTCTCCTGAAAGGGCCTCGTCTAGTTCTCAACACAAGGAAACACCTACTTGACAACCGGAGAGGTTTCGAGCTTCTACGTTTGACTTGCAGTCGCAAAATGACGACATTACAGCTGAGTATGAGCTTGTCAAGTTGACGAAAGTAAGTGTTAATATCAGAAGACGTATACACGTGTGCGCGATTCGTGCCATGAATTAAGCATCTCGATTGTATGCGTTTAGTGCAATAGATCTGCAGGAGATATAATCCTATCTTGTCCTTGCCTACTCTCGTCTGTATTGTAGTGCGCGTAGATGGCTTTCCCATCCCAACGCTCAGTAATGATCCCCTCATCTATGTTCTCCACAAGATTCAGTCATCCACGTCGATTGCAGGCAACACACGACGTCGGAACATGTTTCTTGTAAGTGCCCCGTGCCTACCATCTTGACGATGTGATGCCTCACCACACGCAGTCCGCATGACGCATCGTCCATCTTCCATGCCGCAGTATGGTTCACTCAGCATGCTGGCTTTCTAGGGTCTCCACTACTTAGATCTGATGCCTTAAAGTCGATGTTGCTGTCGATGGGCCACCATGCCCATACCATTGCATCTATCTCACGGTCTCGATTATACATTACGCGGACATTAAATGAACACAAAGTCATACTAAAGTGGTGAGTGTCTTTCCTATCTGGACTTTGAGTGCTACCCAAACGTCTAAAGTCAAGAACCGCCTCTTGCTACCGGCCCTGGGATCCCAGCGTGTTTGGGTGCATGCTACTTGCGCGTGCTCCGCGTTGAACTCGAACCATTTCATGAAACATGTGCTGGCCACGGCGATCTACCCACTTGAATGTATGAGTTTTTCAATGGAAGTTCGAGTTAGACCCTCAAGTAAGTGCACCCGTTACTCTTCCTTCGACTCCTCGTTGCCGTACAGCAGGAGATAATTTACCGTGCAGCCTGCATCTGGGGGCTCTTCGTACGGGGGATAGCATACAATGGGGGACATCTTAACCACATGTTGATGGCGAAGTTGCAACATGCGGAATGCAGGATACAGCTGGTCTTTTAAATGGAATCCTGTCAAGCACGCCATATAACTGCGTTGAAGTGGTAATACTCACACTTCCACACAGCCTTTGAACTGGTCTCTACCTAGCGTACATAACGAAGCTGCGGATCGCGCATCGTATTTGGGAAGAACTATTGCTCCGAATAAGCGTCTAGAGTAAGCAAGTGCACCTCAACATTTTATATCATTTGATAAGTCCCTGATCTCCTTTAGATTCGAGCACTTGCATTGTGTCTGTCTCCACACAAGCATAATCTCACAATATGGGCGACGAAGAAGGAATAGATAGCAGTGCCAGAAAGTCTAAGGATGACTATGGGTGGGCTCGATGTGCTGAGTTAGTCAACAAACATGACAAGGCGAAGATCGACTACTGGAATGATGAAATAAATGCACTCCTTGTCTTCGTATGTCATATAACCTCCGTTACATGGCAGCATGCTAACGCGAATATGATGGATGAGGCTGGATTGTTCTCGGCAGTTGTTACCGCCTTCGTTGTCCCTTACTATCTTCTCCTTTCTCCCGACGTCGCATCGCAAATCATGGCCAATATCTCTGCCCAGATACGTAGCTTTGTTATCAACTCCAACTTCATAAATTCGACATATCCCGCGTATCCGAACTCGCCAATTGCAACGCTATCCGGTCCTACATCTCCCTCGACGATAGGGATCAACATTCTGTGGTTCTCCGCACTCATCACAAGCCTCACTTCTGCATCAATCGCAATTTCGGTCAAGCAGTGGCTGAATCAGCACACCCTACAGCTCACCAGCGTGCCTCGCGTACAAGTTCTCACTTGGTACTTACGACATCGGTCATTTGCGAAGTGGGATGTCCCTTTCATCATCAATCTCGTTCCGCTACTTCTTCAATTGTCTCTGCTTCTCTTTTACGTCGGGATAATTGTCCTATTATGGTCGTTGAACCTGATTGTCGCCATCGTTGTGGTGTCGTTGACTGGGCTTTCATTGTTGTTCCTCATTGTCACCGCTGTTCTTCCGGCCATCTTCGTCAATCACTGCCCTTACAAGTCTCCGCAAGCATTGTTCACTCTCACGCTCGTCCGAACCATTTTACGGATGCCCTACTTCTGCTGGTTTGTAGCCCGCATTATATTGGACCCGGTTGGCCAGATCGTTGCAATCCTGCTGTCCGATAGGTACGCTATATTTCCATAATGGGCTGGAAGCTCACTAACGAACGTTCGTTCATCCAGCCCGTTGGATACTTTGATCGCGCTGGCTAGACAGTGGTTGAGGTACGCTTTCCCTCATCTAAGTGTGCATATAAAACCGCTCATGATGGTTTCAAGCTGGGGTATCCAGGGTTTCCAATATTATGCGAGGACGGCTGGTTTCCGCTTGTTGCAAGTGCCAGACAGTATGCTCCGCATCACGTAAGTCATTCTTCTACAATCAAAAAATCAATCCAGACTTAGGAATCGTTCTATTATTTCATCTAGGGACCATATCTTGGAGGATGGAAGCCAGCCCTTACACCACCGTCTGCACATCGACTGGAGCGAATATCAGTTGGAATATATTCTTGACTCTCCAGAGGCGCTCGCTATTACTGATCAAATGCTATTAACGAAGGCGTGCGCAGTTCTAATGGACGACACATTCCCCAACACCGTTATGGAACCTTACATAGAAGCCACGCCACTGCTTAAGTCAGCATGCGATGCATTCGCTTCCCTCATGGCATATCTGACTGATCGTCCATCCACCAACGCGAATCAGAGGATGGACAGTCAATCTCTTGCAACTGTGCAACGACTTGCACAATGCATACTCGGACGCGCATCTCGCGACGGTCCTGATGCGGGCGCAGATCGATTCCCGGATACTCTGCTCAAGGGCGTCGAACTCCTTCTGTTTGGGGAGAATATTGATAAGTCACCAATGGTATTCGATGCACTAACTCGGTTAGTCGACAAGAGCTGGGAAAAGTTCAATGATTCCGATCGTCGTGATGTGATTTTGTTAGCGATGGACAGGCTTAAATTCTATCCTCAATTTCACGATATCGATCGCGAGTATCACTTTCCTCCTCCACATGTGCGATTCTGACTTCTCGAAAACAGATTTGAAGGAAATTGTTGGATGGATGAATCGTACTCGACAGGGCTGCTGTTTTCCCGCGGAAATACGGATCGCCATGGAAGTTCTCCTGTTAATTTGTCCTGTACTATCGTTTCCAGATTCGGCCCCTTCGACAATATCTGCTGATGAAGCGTTACATGTACTCGATTGTTTGGGAGCAGATTTGGACCGTCAACTGGCCAACGGAACTTCAGGGAATGTCCATCTCGTGGAAAAGCAAACCGAGTCTTCTCCACATTCGAAGATGATGATGCTTTCAGCCAAATCCTTCGAAGTAGTCGAAAGCGAGGTCGACAAATATCTTCGTGACATGGAGAGCAAAGCCAAAGACGAACAAGAGAAATATGAAGGCTGGTCCAAGGCATGGGAGAAGGACCTCCAGGAGACAAGGTATGCTCGTACGACGCAGATCGTCATGTCGTCGTGTCCTGACGACCGAGTGCTCGAAAGGGTCAAATATCTAGATAGGCTATCTAGAAGACAACAGTCTCAGCGCGACCAGTCGGAGCATCAAGCTTTGGAAATGCGCGTAGGATTCTCGGTTTGGAGGCAAATCATTAGTTCGATCGAAGAGGACCCTACGTCTGTTGGGTATGGGGAGATCAGTGATAACGTATCGCTCATTTTCCTTAATCCTTGGGATTTGTCTAGACTACTAGTGCTGCTGTTTGTGTAGTGCAGTACTGCTTCAAATCGGCATGATGCCCTCCCCTTTTCTCGGATTGTATCATCTGATCTCGGCCGTCGGGCGACGGTGGTTCGCAGTAGTAATTGCGTGGGATCAGCGGGAAGAGATATGGTATGTGCATCAGCATACAGGTGCCTAGCTATCTGGCGTATAACCCGACCGAGCGCTAAGGCCAAGGCTTTGTCGCGCCATGCACAAATCCTGTGACAGTCAGTTACAGTAGATCTCGGCGATGCTCAAGCGAAGACGCACGTTGAGCAGTCGTTGGAAAATTTAAAGCGGTGCGTTCGACTGTGGTTAGGAGAAGTACGAGCATAGGAGAGGTTCAGCATCAGCCCAGCCAGCTCCAAAATCTGTAGTGCAGGACTGGTAGCGCACCTCGTCATCTAAATCAACGATGACTGTCCGTCTATAATCAGCACCCAAGAGCGAGCTTATAATCCGGGTGGCGCATAACGAGCAAGGTAAAACTTGCGGCTCATGATAGTGGTATATGGATGAGTAGAACATGTAGCTCGGTGCACGATATGACTGACGGAGGCGACGCACTGTGCGCGAGAAGATGCGGGACATGCAGTCATTTACAAAAGCCACTGCACACAAAGCGCATCTTGGGTGCGGCAACCCGTTTAGTAATTCCAAGCGAGCATAAAGTGCATCGCAGTCGAGGGAAGACGATCCAGCAGGTGGGATACAATGACTCAATGAATGGGGGTGGAACATCTAGCAGCGAGAACGCAGGGACGAGCTCGCAGAACTTATTCAAACCATACCTGTCGATGGTGAATTAGAAAGCAGTACTGTAATATTCAGAGCCATTCTTGAAGCACAAATCCGAATTATCGCTGTCCACATATTGTATTGCGTAAATATATTGCTGTCTGCTTCGCTTTTCTACCTTCATTAGCGATATAACATCTGACGGTCTTCTCATCTTGTTCCGTGATCTCATACTCTTGAAGCAGTTGGCCCTTATATAAAATCCCACCTTTCGAATTTCCAGGACCGTGTTGCAAGAGAAGAGCGAGATCAGGAAATTAATGTGACTGACAGCTCAGAAAGAATTTGGACAGCATGTGCTCTACGGAGTGGACTCAACCTCGATGCAGACGCCCTGCCTGGTGGATGTGATGAGACCACGGTGATGGGATGAATTTCCATTCCAATCTCCACCACCTTCGGCGAGGGGAGGCCTGAACTCTCCCTCCACCCCACCCAATAATGTCGATGAGTGCGTTTGTAAACCTGCTGTGGATACGCTGTGGGCGCGTCATCGATTCATCAAGCGCAACGAAGCGCGGCTCTACTTGATACTCGGGGTCGAACTGAGCTGAGTCATTGTATGCGTTGTAAGATGTGAAGTTTTGTGAAGCCCACCATCTGAGTCTGTACATTCACGCTAGGTTCGTGCCACGCGATGACAAGGCGCGCGGAGCGTGGATGCCAGCTACCAGTGGTGACATCACCCGCGTCGTCATCTTAGCCATCTCCTCCTTATAAACCTCCACCATACGACCTCTTTCTGTTCTCCTTCCTCTTCACTGACGTCGCTGTACAAACGTGACCACGAGCATAATTCCCAGTCCAGACGTCCTTTCGCAAAGACGAGAAACCGAATCACAATCCAAGCGACATGACAACTCTCGATATGGCATCCCAGGCTCCCCTCATCCGAATCAAATCCGCCATCCAGAAATATCCTTGGGGAAAAACAGGCAACGCATCTCTTGTGGCTCGTCTCGCGCCGAACGCGGTCGGATCTGACTTTCAGTTAGATGGGCAGAAGTCATACGCTGAGGTGAGGCCTGTTTGATTTTTCTATCTCGGTTGTTTCATCTACTTCGCACGAGCGTGCCATACCGCAGAGCAGAGTCGAGATCGCAATTCGACTTCTTATATGCGGTCCATCCTACATTATGAGCGATCTCATATGCTGCCTACAACGCGTTTTTGTTAGCATGTAGGGTCAGTATGCAGGCGGATAAATGCACCTCGCAATGCTACTACTTATTCTACCATGTTCTGCATTTTCTCGCCAAGAGATGCAGAAATCAGTCTCGACTTGGCTCTCCCGCACCGTGACCCTATCTACACCGAAGTTGGGGTTAGGTGTTGGGGTCTCGAGCGGCCGTCGGCATTCTCATTTTCTGCGCCAAAAAGCTCACCTCTTCCCTAGATCTGGATGGGAACGCACCCACATGGCCCAGCGAAATTATATGACTCGCCATCCACCTCCCTCCAGTCGCTCATATCCACATCGCCCGCGACGTTCCTTGGGGAGCCTGTGCATTCGAAGTGGCCAGGAACGACGCAGGTGCCGTTTCTCTTCAAGATTCTCAGCATCGAGAAAGCGCTCCCACTTCAGGCGCACCCGGACAAAGAACTAGGAGAGAGACTCTACAAGGAGAAGTCCGACCTCGCGTCGGACTCGAACCACAAGCCCGAGATCGCGGTGGCTATCGGGCGCCCGCTTGGGAAGTGGGGAAAGGACGTAGCATTCACAGGTTTTGTCGGGTTCCGGCCGCTCAAGGAGATCGCAGAAAGTATGAAGGGGGTAGCAGAACTCAGAGAAGCAGTGGGTGAGGCAAAGGTTGTCGACGAGTTCGTGCAGGATCCAACAAAAGAAAGGCTGAAGAGCGTATGGTCGGCGCTATTGAAGAATGGCGCTGAAGGGCGCGCGGAAAAGTGGGTGGAAAAGCTTGCAGCACGAATCAAAGGCGGGAAGAAGGAAGGCATGAGCGAGGAGCAGGCGCAACTGATTTCAGAGGTGGAGAAACAATATCCGGGGGATGTGGGCGTGCTAGTAACGACATTCTTCATGAATTTTGTGAAGCTGCGACGGGGAGAAGCGATATACATCGGAGCAGACGAAGTGCACGCTTATCTTGAAGGAGGTAAACACCTCATGCTGTCAATTGACACTTTTTATACTCACCCGATTCACGCGGAATTGCAGACATTATTGAATGCATGGCCGTCTCCGATAACGTCGTTAATGCTGCGTTCTCCCCTCCAGAGGAAGTTAAATCGCAGATCCCAACGTTTCTCGAAATGCTCACCTATACGGCGCGCCCTGCGTCACACTGGAACCTCCCTGCGAGGTCATACAAGTATTCCGTTCACGCACGTACGACCGCATACGACCCCCCGCTCGAAGAGTTCGTTGTTCTCGGGACAGTCTTCCACCCCGGGCCAGGCAGCACGGGAGACGGTGGACGAAAGGAGAGGCTCGAGCCATCGGACGGCCCAACGATGGGTATTGTCACGCGCGGCCGCGTTCGAATGAACGTCGGGGATGAGACAGTCGATTTAGAGGAGGGCGCGGTGGTATATGTCGTTCCTGGAAACACCATCAATGTTGAGCTATTGCAGCCAGATCAGGAGGGCGAAGGAGAAGTGTGGTGGGCGACCTGCGTTATCTGAGGGTATTGGAATCCTTAACACCAGCCTCATTGAAGAAGAGAGTCACTATACATGGATATAAGTATGATACACCAAATATAAATGAGACAATGTATGCATATGGAGATGTGGTACTGTACTATTGTGACCCTCAGAGAACCGAGTCTGCATGCACGAGAACATACTGTGAGCTCCTCGACTAAGCTTGTTCAAGAATCTCTGAAACTGCTGCGTAGGTGTAATTCTCCCCGCACGCAGATCGTCTTGGCCATCACAAGACTAGCTTAGATACGCGGCTCAGCTGCTGTCGTTTGTACTGAGCTCCTGGCTTGAGGGAGTATCGCCCAGGCAGAAGAAGCGCAAATGCGTGCTCCATGCGTTGGCTTCTGCTTCAGATGAGGTAATTTCCTTGGGCGACATACGTATTCACAAGGCAACCCTTAGTAGACCTGGCGAATTGAATGGTGCTTTCGTAAGATGGCACAGAGGAGTGCACAGAATTGTCGACAAACCAAGCTATGACAACACTCGTCCGCTGGGCCTTCAGATCATGGCTTGAGGGGAAGTTACGGGTACTAGTGGAGACAAGTGCACATCAGATTGCAAAGGACAAGTCCGGAGGTGCGAAGGCCCACGCGCAGTAAAGAAAATCCACATCGGGTCGGGCAGGCTCTAAGATAAGCGACATCCTATTCGGTGGGCATAGAAACCACTGACGATTGAGCCAGGAAGCCGAGGTCATCCGTATACGCAACGAAAACGTCCTGAATTCCTGCGTGTAAAAATGGTTTCTGAGTGATTCTCTTGTTTAAGGTGTGGGTGATGGTTAGGCGCGTAGGTGATGGCTGCTTCTTGCTTGCTGCTGCGAGCAACGGGGTCCTATATACTCAGAAGTCGGGCCCCGCCACTGGTGGTCTGTGAGTCCTGCTACAGCCGAAGGGGCCTATCGCCACAGTGGGACCTGGGCCAAAGCGTCGTAAAGTGGTCGCTAAGTCAGGCTACCACAGGACAGACGACTCAACTTGCCCCCATGGCATGATATCCGACGCTATTCCATACTTGCTTTATATCACGTAATTTTCTTCAGCATTAAGCCTTGTGTGATGTATATCGAGATATAAGACCGCAAGAATGCCCAAAAGACAGTACCAGCCTCAGACAGACTCGAGACGCGAGGAGGACGCTGCGGCGAGCCACAAGGGAGCCGCGACCGGTGGCAGGCGCTTATTGCCGATACTTGTTCCTGCCAATTTTTATTCTCTGGGCTAACGAACTTTATAAACTTGCATTTATACTCGACTGCAGCTCAGAGACATTCAACAATGGTAAATAGCGGGTTACTTGTCATTCTATGGTAATCCACTGATGTAGAGATGTGGTACAGCTTGGCTTGTCCGACGCACTATCTCGGCCTACGACTTGAGGGTTTTAAGTCGAGGCCGGCGGCCACACTTGCCTTCGATCATTCCGAATGTTGCACATCATGCCATAGGGTTACAGCAGCTCCTGTCTGGTGGGCTTGTAACAACGCCACGAGGATTGACTCAGATGTCCAGAAGGCATAGCCAAATGCGCTTAACGCTCCCCGCAAATGACGATGGTCACCCTTGCGAAAGCCTAGAATATATGTGTTCAATATCAGTGAATCCTTTCGACTGGACTGTATGCTGTGCGTACCTGGGGTCGACAAGGTTGAGCTTGTGTGCTGGAAAGCTGACGATTGGAGCAGGAAGTCCATTGCTTGCATTGTATATGAGGAGTTGTTGGCGATCTCGCATATCCGAATGCAGGCGAGTGGCGAAGGTGGTCAGTTCGAGTGATATTTTAGAGGGTCAAAACATATGATGAAGAGCTTTTCATAAGTCCAAGCACCCTGATGCAAGGGTTCAGCTCATAAAACTTGTAGGAGATCGTCCACTATGCACATGTTGGTCATCCTGGGCGACTTTTGGATGAGGTGTTTTGACAGCGAGAAGCCGAGAACCATCCATGAGGTTTGTGCGCCTGAAGTACCATCTTGGTCAAATTCTCATGTAGTCGTAATATTTCCACAGGTTTTTGATGTGCCATCAGGCGCAGTCAACTGTTTATCCGGCCTCAATTGCGCAGCCGCAATGTCCCAGCGTCAACACGATGCCTGCAACTTTCGGGAACTATGTGTTTGAACTTTGCGAATAGGATGAGCTTTTTCGCGCAAGTTCTCAGTCGCTCGTCCAGCGCTGGCCTGTCCTCGGAAGAGAAGCATATTTTCCTGAACTTGTGCTATGCATGATGCACGCGCAGGGCATGGAGGCGCTTTTGTGTAATTTACATGATTTGACCCTCGTGACTAAAGGCATCGACTCGTGGTATCCTGTTGCTCCGAGAGATGCGGGTAAGTGGTCATTCATGTCATCGATAGCACTGTGCCTGACATGAGCGAACCCGATATTGTGTGTAGATTCTTCGGGGCGCGACGTTCTCACCGTGCTCATCTCGGGACCGCATCCCTCGTAGTCATTCAAATGAGAGTATACCTGGACTTCCAGCGTGGGTAGATAGCCCACCTTCGCATTCTCTATCGCAATGCGCCGGTTATACCTTTTATTCACACCTGTTGTCTGGAGTTTTTTGCATGAAGCTGTTGCTCATATCCACGCGACTTCGGTACATGACCTTGAACAACAACTCTTAGTGCTTGAGGACAATGCCGGCGGTTCCGATACTCACTCAACTTCCCATTGGGCCATCAGTCCACAGATTTCAGCTTTTGCTCACGCAGAAATCACTAAATGGAATATTCCCGGGATGTCTATTGGGGTGGTGCGGTTGACGGAGGCAGGCAATGTTGACACCGACTACGGCTCGTGGGGTATCATGGCAGAAGAAGGGGAGGCAGCCTCTTCTGCTGTACGTGTCCGCTACACTGCATGGAACAAAAGCTGACATTATAAGCAGACGATGTACGGGATCGGCTCTTGCTCAAAGGCTATCCTTGCGAGTGCTGTTGGGATCCTCATGGATGATTTTGCACAAGGGCACAACGTGGTTCCACTTCCTCCGAACTTGGCTGAGTTCACTTGGGATACAAGAATCAAGGATCTCTTTCCAGGCGGCTCCGAGTGGCGACTTCCAGATTCATGGGTAAGTGTCAGGGCCAGTATACGTGACCTACTAACACACATGTCTGGTATGCCAAGGTAAGTTCTATCAGTATGACAGCTCAGTACTTCTGACTGAGAATGGTATAGGCACGACCTCGCGTATAGTGCTAATGATACACCACGCGACGTTACAAGGAAAATGCGATTTCTGAAACATACACATGAGCTCAGGGAGCGATGATCATATTCTAACCAAGTAAGATCCGTTAGCCTGATTCATTATTTTGTATCTTCCATGGCCCTAACGTACATTGATCCATCGCACAATTAGATGTATATGGTTGGTTCTCATATAATCGCGACATATTCTGGGATGCCTTATACCTCCTTCGTCAAGAAGCGTATTTTCGATCCGCTTGGGTTGAATACGACTACGTTCTTTGCAGACGAAGCTCAGCTCACGGGTCACCTAAGCCAGTCTTGGTCCATTAGCGCATCAGGCGCAAGGAGACGCGTTCCATTCTGGTTCAAAGCCGAGAGCGTGGAGGCAATGGCGAGACCGGGTGGAGTGATAAGTACCGCAAAGGATATGGTAGGGATTACATACCAAACATACAGGACACAGGAAGAACTGACTCGAAGCATATCTAGACCAAATGGCTCGCTACGGTACTCAAGTGGGGAGTAGACCCATATACGAATAGGAGTATTTTTCCGCCTTCTGTCTATGAGGAAACAAGTACCGCGCAATCTCTTATATCGGGGAAAGGCTCTGATCCTAACATATCTATTCAAGGCTATGGCTTGGTCTGGGAACGCTTCTCACTTCGAGAACATGAGGTTAGAAGTTACACATACATTTCGACAAGCCTGGGCTTGAACGAAACAACCGCGATTCCTTTCAGGTCCTGCTTTATAATGGACCGATGCCGGGTTTCTTGACATTCATCGTATTGGTCCCATCGGCAAAAGTTGGCGTGGTTGGGTTAACAAATGTTGATGGAGATCAAGACGTTTATCGCAATATCCCGTTGCGCATCCTCGAAAATGTCCTGAGGCTCTCCTACAGATTGCCAAGCTTGAAGGTTCTATCGGGGCTTATGTCATCACCTCTCCCGTATAGTACCCAGGCACCAGGAACTGCTTCCAGTCCCGTTTCGTCCCCCACCGACATTGACATTTTCGTGGGGATGTACACGAATCCGGGATATGGCTCGCTAGACTTGTGTTCTCCGAGGAGCAAAACAAGATATTGTCTTCCAGTTCTCGCCAGTTTCTCCCGCTGTGGAGAATTAGATGCCAAGGATCGTACATTATATGCCGCATGGCCCCGCGTGTGGACATCGCATATGAGCATGAGGCACCGCGGAAACGGCATTTTCACCGTATCGTTTCATACTCTTTTTCCGAACGGGCTTGGCTGGGACACAACGCCATTCGTACACAGGGCTTTGCTAGGGTTGAACGGAGGTTATCTGGCCGAAAGCTCAATTTATAACGGACAGGTTAACGGATTTGGGCTGATGGACGTGATATCTTACCCAGAAGGGCCTCGTACCACGCGCGGGAGCATTAGCAAGAGGGCCGATGTTTGGTTCAAGAAAGTCTTACCCCCTTGGTACGCTCACGTTGCCGGCTCAGATCTCAGCTGATCTGGGAAGTGGAGGAATAAGATGCTTATTCAAATGTTACAATCCAACTATGTACTTGTCGTCGTACTTTTTCGAATTCAAAAAAAATCCTGATGCTTGCAGACTACAGTTGCCTTGGGCGCCAATCACAGAAGTTTACGGCGTCAAAGCTACGTCCCGACTCCCGAGCACTCCTGAAGGCCCGTCGGGGTTAGGAACGGGAAGGCTGAGTTACATGTTTAGATGTGTTTCATCTATCATATCTCTAGCCATTAGCTACTTATGCATTGTTTATTTGTTTGAATAAAATGGCCTAGAGTCTCTTCGATGGGCCCCTTGGCCAACGCTTCCTCATGCTCACACTTCCAATTGCCATGATGGATTTGGAGCCTCGCCAAGTGCTCGCGTATTCCGTTCTACTCCTGATACCAGCTCTATATTTTCTGCTCAGGCTTCCCAGCAGTCAGGTATGTACCGGTCACTACATACGATAAGTGTTACGCTCATGTCTCATTGAATATACTTTGTAGTTGGGTCACATTCCAACGGTAGGAGGCCCGTCTACCCCCCTCTTTTCTTATCTGGGTTCGTTTCGATTCTTCGTCCGTGGAGTTAGTATTCTTCAGGAGGGATACACGAAGGTAAATCGTCTTCTTCCATGCTGCAGAAGCCGTGCAGACGACAAACAATTTCCTGAAGCATAAGGGCCACCTCTTCAAATACAATGACTGGTACAGTTGGACAGTCGCTGTTACAACTGCTCAACAGATAGATGAGGTTCGGAAAGCGCCTGATGACGTATTGTCATTTTTAGAAACAGGACTGGAAGTAAGTCTCACTTCTGCCGCATAGTGATCACATCATTCACCGTATTGTATCTAGACAGTCCAGGGAGACTATACATTGGGCCGTGCTGTACACGAAAACCCATATCACATATCTCTCGTCCGAAGTCAGCTTACTCGAAGCTTATCTGCCATTTTCCCCCAAATGATGGATGAAATATCGACTGCATTTGAAGATACAATCCCGACCCCACAGAAACATGGAGGTATGCATTACGATGTGGATTAACAAGTCCATTGTACTCATACGTCTGCGTAGATTGGGTGAAGGTTCACCCAAGGGATGTTATCACGCAGGTCATCTGTCGAACTACTAACCGGGTATTTGTTGGACTTCCCACATGCACGTATACTCGTTTTTAATACCGAGTGGGTTGTTAAAACGATCATGACAGGTCGAGACCCGGATTACTGCGAACTAAACAAGACATTTGCTGTCAATGTTTTCGCGAGAGGGAGCTTGATCAGAATGTTTCCTCGTCATATAAGACCGTGAGTGCTTTTTATTAATGACACATTGAAGATATCGTCCTCTCTCGTCATTTCCATGAATCTCAAAATGTTTTTCTGTACAACTATAGTATTGCCGGCTATCTTCTATCGAATAGACTCAAGAGTTTGAAGCGCGGTGTCAAATTTCTGGGGCCGTTGATAACAGAACGCTCCAGGTTAGCTGCCGAGTTGGGTGACGAGTGGAAGGATAAGCCCGTAGGTCTCCCTCCGCCAGTGAGGCTGTGCATCGGTGTGACGATGATATACGATAGAACGACATGCTGCAATGGTGTATTGATTCAGGCGTAGGCGAGGCCATACCTGACCTCGTAATGCGGATTTTGACAATCAACATGGCAGCCATTCATAGTAGCTCTATTGTAAGTGGTTGTGTCAAGGAGAAAATTCGAGAAGCTGACTGCCCTTCCGTTACGCCATGAACTCCGATTATGTGGGCAGACATTCACTCACGCAATTTTCCACCTTGCCACCAACCCTCATTTTATCCAGCCCATACGAGAGGAAGTAGACGAACTGATTCAAAAGGAAGGATGGTCTAAGGAAACCCTTGGCAAGATGCATAAGGTTGATAGCTTTCTTAGAGAAGCAATGCGAATGGATGGGCTGGCTGCTGGTGCGTTCTGGCATCGGGTGTCCCGCTTCCTTGTTCAATACTCACTAATGTAGTATAGTTTCGTTGGACCGCGTGGCTTTGAAAGACTTCACGTTCTCTGACGGGACAATTATCCCAGCAGGAACACGTCTCGCTGCTCCTGCTCGCGCGATCCATCGTGACGACGAACTTTACCCAAATGCCTTGACCTTCGATCCGTGGCGTTTTTCAAATATGCGGGACAAGACTGAGCAAGGAGCGCACAATTTCGCTGTGAATACGAGCGCAGAGTTCATGATCTTCGGACATGGGAAGCACGCGTGGTGAGTGTTCCAGGTTTATTACTGTATGCGACATGTCTTGCTGAGAAGGCTGCTTGTGGATGGAACAGCCCAGGTCGGTTCTTCGTCGTTAATGAGATGAAAGCGATGCTTGCCTATATTGCCGTCAACTATGATGTCAAAATGGCGGACGATAGCGCGGATATGCCTCCATCTATGTATTTTGGAAGAGCTATTGTACCTAACGGTACAGCTGAAGTGGCATTCCGCAAACGCCAGCACTGACTGGACATCTTGGAAAACATATACCTACGAGCTCTAATTTTAGCGGGATGGCTTGAGTGAAATCCGTTTGCATAAAATTTTCCCTTCTAACGTTCCCGTTTCAATCATGACTGACATACCATAATTTCCGTACTTGATGTAGTCACTATCTACACAGGTCTTAGCCCTCGTGGACAATAAAGTGACGAAAGATCTCTTTCGAATAAAACGCCGCGTGCGTCCGATGCACGTGAAGTTCCGCCTTGAATAACGGACAGATGGTCCTGTTCGATCGTTGTAGGGCATCGTTTCGGCTCAGAGGTCGCGCCATATGAGATCATCAAGGAGTTGCCCTACAGTACCTGAACGCCGTGATCAGCGAGACTCTCCGCCTTCATTCGACCATCGGGGCCGGCGTCCCTCGTAGGCTGGCGCTCCCGGGAGGTTGAACGGTACTCGGCCGGGAATTCAAAGTGGAAACATGGCTAGGTGTACCTCTGTATGGCATGAAACGGAGAGATGTTTGAGACGTCTGGTATTCGCCTTGGTCTTCATTCCGCATGTACGAAAAGTTCTTGCGGAGGCAACTAGAAACTCGTCTGAGTTTTGATTCAATGGATACGTTTGGATGCATATGTTAGACAACATATATTTAGTCAGGACACATCTCATCTCTGATGTTCACCGTCGCCAAATAGCTTCAGGCTTCAAGTGAACGACGGAACCCAGCCACAATCGTGATACCTCAAAAAATATGATATTGAATTCAAGATACAAGCTGGCTTGTAGATTACCCTCACGGCCTCAATGTATTGAAAAACACTATCACTGAAGTACAGATTCTTTACATTATTAGTCGGGGTTGCACCAAAGCCTAGAAGCACCGTTTGGCCCTTTAGTACATTATAAACCAGTAACTGTAGTCGATTTTACGGGGACCAGTCTTTGTTCATGAAGTGCCATTCGACATCCTCCAACTTGCCTACACTCAAGTCGGCGAAGCCTTCGAACAAGGACGGGCTGAGGTCTATTCACGGAGACGGGTACCCGATCAGCAACTTCCCTTGCAGTCTATGGAACCGTGACTAACCAATGTCGTACTCGCCGCAGGCCTCGCATTCGTCGCGAGTCTTGCCATATTGGGTGATCCCATTGTATGTGATCTCCATCCACTGTGAAACCGCTCGGTCGTCAGTAAATCCAGCTCTGCACATATATAAGCTACTTGCCTGGTTACAGTTGCCACCGCTCCCGTAGATTAAATGGGAGATAGCAACAACGGGGGAGCTGTTGCTGTCGGTGTATCCACAGGCTCCGAGACCGGTGTCGTACCACGTTGCCTATGATGCAGTGTAAGTGGTACGTAGAAAAATAAATCTTCCATGGAGGGCACTCACCCAGCCTTCATGAGTAACACGCTTGTCAAGCGCAATGCTGTCCCCAGTAGGAGAGGCAAACACTGCGGGGAGAATAGAAACAAGAGCTGCAGAGAAAAGAGCGAAACGAGCCATCTGTGATAGAGAAAAGAGAAGAGTGTTCGGTAGAACCAGGAGATTTGAATGTGTTTGAAGGAGAGCTGCTGAGACTCGTGAAGATTACCACTGCGACGTGGTCTCTTTTGTAGTGTGAGCGCAGCCACACCCATGTTTTGTTCACCAGGCACAGTGCGACGGTCATGCGCCTCTGGAAAGACTAAGGAATAGATTTACAGGGGATAAGGCGCATCCGAGCATGCGGGTGCGGGTCTCAATGGGACGAACTCCCGCTAGGTTGAAATCACGATGCCAAGGCGGAAACCAATCGGCGGAGAGAAGAGGGCGGAGAAATAATGATGACGGTCGAAATAGGTGTCCGGATCGAGCAGGTACGCAGGAAATGCATACTGCGACACAGAAGCACATGCACTTCTGCAGACTGCTATGGCCACCTCGTAGTGAACTCGACCCCTGTGGCAAATCATACGGCTTCCCGCACGATGAATGATGAAGTAGTTCCCGGCCCAGATTCCACACAGATCAACCTTCCGGTGACGCTCCTTGGCAGACTTGTAGTATAGGTAAAAACAGCTTGTACTGACGTCGTGTTACGCACGGGGATATCTCTCAGCTGTTTTTTCAACTCAGTGCTGTCTCCAAGAGATATGCACAGGATTCAGCAAGACAATAACTGGTCGATTCAACACTCACCGGAAATCGCAAGAAAATCCAGTGATCAACCTACGGAACGGAGGTACCCTTACACTGGTTTGACATTGCACGTCGCTCTTTGAGCGCATCATCGTCTGATGGAAGCTGCGCCCCAGGCGCGTCTCGGTCGCGGTGCAGTATCGCAGTGAATAGCTCCGGAGGAGAATGATCCCGCTCAGGTTCGCACCTGTGAAAAAACCAGCATGTCGCTTTGAAATCTTGCAGTACTCGGCGTCTGGAAAATTTTGCCAGGAAATGCACTGTCACTGTCACGGGAGTCTGAACCTCCGAGAGCTCACCTCAATTTCGATCTTGCCTGTCTCGTACATGAAAACAATCACGTATATGTGAGATGTAAAACGCAACTTGGGCAATTTAATGCCTGAAGGCACAGAGGCATAAACGTTCATAAACATTCGGTGAATATGTACTATGCAGTGCGGATGACAGCCGCCACAGACGCAGGTGTCGAGTTGAGGGCAGGGTGCTACGCGCTTCGTTGCTCAGGCCCGCGGATTTAATTTTAAACTCAAATTCCTGATGTCATCACCGGCTTCAAGTCGGCTCTTGGGGGGGGCGGTGGGGGGCTCTCAGATGTTCTGGTCGTGCAGGTCATCTGACCTGAGCTAATCCGCAAAAATGTGCTTTCTTGCAGCAATACTGTCCGGTTCGCTCTAATGGCTGCTTTGTTATTTTAGAGACTGGTTTTCCGACTTGGGCATTGTTGAACTGTGGCGATGAATCAACGTCATGGTCTGCGCTGGACTCGGTGCTGATGGACAAATGCAGTGTTGAGATGTACGAAAATATATCTTTTCCTGTTGTGTCGAATGGACTCACGAGCGGGCGACTGAGGGCTTAAACTCCGCCGCGTCTGGTGCGATGACAAACACGCATCTGGTATGCTTAGTCTATCTCAGTCCTAGTCCTGGACCGCTTCATACTTGGCATCTGCGAGATTGATATCAACATGTGGTACGAGCGGGAAGTTTTCGTCCAGAGGCAGTCCGTTACAACCAGCTCATTGTACAGACTGATTCCATCTTGCCAAAGCTAGGCGCTGAGTCTCATGCTTTCACTACGGAACCTTACTGGACTTTTCACCGCCGTCTTCGTGATTTGGGATAAGTATTCTTATCAAGTATCACAATTTCACCACGTTCGCGGCATCCTGATTCAGGAATTTGGGCTTATACTGTTCCGTGATGTTCTCTCCCACACACGCGTGAATGTACAGTGGTCCCCGGCCACGGGCGCACACGATGAGTACTTGATGGACTTTACGACGCGCTCGTCGGGCGTGGCGCTGCTATACACTGACACTGCACAAGTAGCGCTCAGAGGGCATTTTCGAGAAGTGTGGACCCGATGATAAATTGATACTTCGCACCATTCATGCTGTCTGAACGTCGCGCTGTGAAGAAGCGCCTCATGGTGCGTGGTTCTAATTCTCGTCCAATCCGCCTGTTTGTCCGGCGTTCGAGGCCCGATGGCGGTAGTAACGGTCGTGGGTTCAGTTACTGCGTCTCGCAGCAGCACCGACTTTTCCGAGACGCTATAGTCGTTGCTTCGTCCAGTCGGGTGGTCGACGCATGCGCCTGATGAATCTTGCGTCTCAATGTCTTTGTCTTCCATTTGCTCGCTGATTCCTTGCGCGCCGCTGTTCCCGCTGCTCCTGCTCCATTTGTCCTAGGTGCCATGGCTTGATGCAAACTACTACTGTCCCGCGCGTGAAACGGAATTTGGTGCTGGTCTGCATCTGTCGAGCGGGTTTATTCATCTACTTGGGCCATGTTGACAGTGAGGTACTGAAGAAATTAATAAATAGAGATTTGTCCAGTATAAAAAGCTCGTAGCTATACTGAGACTCTTACTCACAAGTCCCAGCAACTGGTGGACTCACTCGCACTCAAACACCTACATCAATGGTTCGCTTTGCTCTCCTCTCTGCAGCACTTGTTGCCATCCTCCCCGTGGCATTCGCCTCACCCGTGGCGGATGAAGCCACACTCGACAAGCGTGTTACTCATGAAGGTTGGGTGAGTCATCTCGCAGCGGATGCTTTTGTGTCTTGTTTACAATGCGTCATAGGCAACATACTATAATACTGGCCTCGGAGCCTGCGGATACACCGACAGCAACAGCGAACCCATCGTCGCTATCTCACACCTGATCTACGGGAGCGGTGGAAACTGCAACCAGGCGAGTCCATAGTGGGCAACGTATACGCAGCGCTAGAGTTACTGACGCCGCATCATGTTGCAGTGGATGGAGATCACGTACAATGGGATCACGCAGTACGGGAAGACTCGTGACGAATGCGAGGCTTGTGGCGAGTACGATATCGGTCAGTCGCTGTTTCCTAGACGGCAAAGAGAATTGCTGATTGTATATCTATTTACGTTACTAGACCTCAGCCCGTCTCTGTTCGAAGGCTTCGCCGACCTGAGTGTAGGGAAGTTGGAGGGTGTCGAATGGCACTTCATGAACAAGGACTGGTCTCCGTGATTAATTGTTTCTTGATACTTCATTATCACCAAGGGCGTATGATCAACTTGTGGTGTATAAGACCGCGTTCGCTTGCTACCGCAAAGCAGGCTATGTGCATATTATTGCTGTTGTTACTTATTTTATAAACTTCAATTAGTCCTCGCCGTGGGGAACTGTAAAAAAAACGTCGTGGGTATTTTCAAAGCCCGCATAATGATCCTCGGTATTTGCCGCCAGGCCTCACGCAATACAGGCTCTCTGCTGGGAGACTTGCTCGACAATTTGACGTGTGCTGGTCTGGCGTTCTTGCATCTGTGTTTGCATGCGGGCATCCTGGCTAGCGAGAACATGGATGAAATAGCTGAACTACTCCGTCGAGCCGAATGGGTAACATATTGGTAAAAGGCTCTTTTTCGCAGCCTCTCAATCGTACAGGTCAAATCCAGTGGGGGGCGTCATTCAAGGATCAATTATGGAGCCGTGCAGGGTTTCGTGTGTAACATTCAACCTCATGTCTGGCTTTCGCGTCCGTCGGCCCCACAAATCCTGTTTATGGTGCGCGGCGAAAGACTATACGTTAATCTTACAGACGCATATTCCCCAGCCACGTTGTTGAGTCCCACGGAGTATCCGTACACCCTTCTGTGGACGAGTCTGGATTCTAAGCGTCGCCCTCGTTTGATCTGCCATAGTGATCGCAATCGAAGTATATCAGGTATTCAAGGACTATGCATCTGGTTGGGTTCTAACATATGCTACTGGTTAGTGGCCCGCAGAGACAGTCGGGCTAACGCGGATATATTGAACTAAGCACAACATCCACGGTGTTGTACTAAAACAGACCGTCTGGGTAGTCAGCAAAGTGATTCGGCAGCGACGAAATGGGCCATGTCGAAGCTTGCGGAAGGTGAGTAATATCGTGATCCTTCTAATGAGTCTGTTTTTCCAGAATCTACAATTCCATATGTTTTTTTGACTCGGCGGTACAGGCGATAGCGCGGACTTCTGGATCTGAGTTGAAATTAGGCGGGCTTAGTAAAGTACTGTCGGAGGCGGAAATGGTTCAAACAGCGCAATGTGGCGCGACGGCGCTCAGGAGACGAAACTCCATCAAAGCAACATCTTCAAGTTCTGAACCAACTAAGGTACATGTTCATAAACGTCTATGATATATTGTTATGTTCATGACTGGCAGCTATACTATGGAACCAATACAACTGGAACCAATAGAACCGGAACCAGCACATCCAGAAACAGCGCATACGGCGTCCGCCCCATTCGACAAATCAAGCGCGGACTTAGTCATTGTCTCATCCGATGCCGTGGAATTTCATGTCCACACCCAAGTCTTACGGTTAGCCTCGTGCTTCTTCAATGATATGTTGTCCATGCCCCAGCCGAACGTGTCTGCTCAGGAGGATATTCATTCTCCCACCGGCCTCCCGCTCATTCGTGTCGATGAGGACAGCCGAACACTGGACAGCTTGCTACGACTTTGCTATCCCGTAGATGATCCAACACTAGTCAAATTTTCTGACATAGCGCCTGCGCTGAAGGCGGCGACGAAATACGAGATGTATGAGGCCCAGTCGCTTTTGAAGTCAGCATCTTTATCTAATGACGACAAGGAATCTCTCCTATGCGTCTACGCTCTGGCTTGTACTCTAAATTTCGAAGACTTGGCACATAGAGCGGCGTTAAAGTACCCTCAGTCTCAGGAAGCATACTATACCCCTGAGATGGATCAGATCACATCTGGAGCGTACTTTCGCTTTCTCCAATTCCTTTCGAGGCGACCGATTCAGCCTACGGGAAACAGTCATCCGAGATTTCATCGACAGTCGCTTTGCAGGCCTCCTGTCTGCATTCCAAATGTAGAAGATGAATCGTGGCGAACACATCTTGACGCCTTCCGATGCGCCAGCACTATAGACAGGATCATCCTCCGGTCCTCGGACCTTGTCGAATTCTGTCTGTATAAACCGATCTTATTCCTAGCCTCTGCGCACTTCCAATCACTGTTTGAAGACCCCCAGACCGGTGACAAGCGCAATTATGTCGCTCTGAAAAATGTGCCAGTCCTAAATTTGGAAGAGGATGGACAAACCCTCTGCCTTCTTCTGCACTTTGTGTATCCGCTCCCAAGCATGAATTTACAAGACATAGGTGTCTTGACGAGAGTTTTGGATGCCGCCGTCAAGTATCGTCTACAAAGAGCCATGAACGACATCAAGGTCTTGCTGATCGAGCAAGCCAGGAAGGAACCTCTACGGCTTTATTTTCTGGCTATTCATTATGGTTGGGAGGACGAAGCAAAGAGGATGTCTGAGCAGCTCACTGGAGCGATCATTGACGTCTATATCCCCGAAATGGAGCTCGTCTCTGCCGCAGCTTACCGGAAGCTCCTGGTATATCGACAGAGTTGCAGGAAGGCGGTCATGGATGTTGTGCACAGCCTCACGACATGCATACACCAACCTCCTCTCTATTGGAGTGAAGTAGATCCATCATTGAATCCGGGAGACGGCGGCTGGATTGTCAAATTCACCCTACGATTTTTGGAGGCGAACGTCATATGCATCCCGATTACTGGACTCCGGACGGCAGGGGACCCCATGCACTACCTTCGGTCACTAATTCGGAATTTTTTCACGGACAGCAACAAAGTAGGTAACAAACGTAAGCGGCATATCTTGAATGCGGATGAGCTCGAAAAGAGTTTAGCAGACGCCGTGAAAAAGGTATGGTGCTATATGGACGCACAACTAAGATTTCTGCTGATCCCATCTCTTACTGTAGATCAATTTTTGACTCTGGAAAGAGGATAGTAGCGTCTTGCTTTCGACGACGAGTGTGTAAGCCTGAGGCTGACCACGGCCGATCATTTACTTACCGTCCGTGACAGACATACTTCCATTACTGGAAGATAGACACATTATCAACTACGACGACACTCGAAGGCTATTACGTCGCGACACCTTCTCATATATACAGTCGACGTACTCGCCTGCAGCTTGATATTTCTCGCTCTTTCCTCTCTCCTCTCTCCTCTTTTGCATGCGTTCCCTCTTTATCTCTCTCTCGCTCTTGATTACCTTCCCCTTTCCCCGCTAGCGCTCTCTCTCTCTCTGCCACTCTTGTACGCGTATCCCTACCTCTTACACAATCCGATGCTGGTCTCGTCTAGTCTGTGAGTGCGACTTACGGCTGAGTGTTCCCTGACAACCCCACCAGGGTTATAGAGCCTCGGATGCATGTAGGAATACAAGGATGATGAACCAGGGGTCTACAGGTTCCAAATGGGACACCAGAGGTGCCGAAGCCACGATGTACCTATTCACGGCTATTGCTAAGTATTGTCGGAGAGAAGCTCACCGCATCATTCAGGCTTCGGAAGATGTGCGATGGAAGTTGCGCCAGACGACGTAGTCACCATTGTAAGCTCCTCACAGAACCATTCGAGAATCCGACCATGAAATATTCGTCGGAATACGAATCCACGAAGACTGGTGAAAGCCTTCGTTCGATGGGGGAGTAGTACTACTGGGATACTCGATAGACCACCGGAGACACAAAGACCGAGTCATCAGTGGGCTCTTGAGTCGATTGCGGGCTTTGCCTAGAAATCCAGTAGCTCATACAATATATAGGGGTAAGTCGCCGGGAGGGCTGCGGATACCTTCCGTTCAGGAGCATTCGATGAAGCCGCCGGCTACGGAACTCCGAGTCGGCAACTAAGCATGCAGTTCTGTCATCCGGAGATTGCGCTGCGCTAGCCCAACGACTGGCCCGAATTAGAATAGTCTGTATTTGAGTGATCGGGACCAGAAAGGCAGACCTCGTTGTCTGCGGATACAAGGAGGTCGAGTCATTATAAGTGGGAAGAGGATGAAAGTGGGTGAGGATATGAAGAGCTCACAAGATATTTAGGGCCGCTCGTGTCCCCGGGCGGCCTGCGAGGTATATACAGTGCGGCTAGGGTTGTCGAATCACAATGAGTATGGGGCGGTTCCACTGGTATATAGCTATCTGACACAGTGGTATACATATTCTTCAACTGGTCCTGCGTACGGTCCGGACCCAAGCGGCAATGTAGCTGTGCGCATGCATACGTGGCGGATCGGGGTAGCTGCCTGATACCTACCGCTTTGCTTCATTGATGAGAATCATTGCAACGAGCACGTCTGAAGCTTCTGCTCCAAGAGAACAAGCCTACCTAGATAGGCCGGCAATAGCGGATTTATGCCGACATTCCAAATATGAGCAGTGGAGATCACGTGTATGCTTCACAGCGGGACGCAAGGAACTTAAGGCAGTCAAGCGGCAATATATCTTGCCCTCCTTCCTCATTCTCGCCCATCTTTGTCTACTCCTCGAGTTTTCTGCGGTGTGCTGAATATCCACGTTAACTTACTTCTGATACTTGCTTTCCGAGGGATTCAAGCCTCATCCAGGCTTTGTGCACTATTCCGCTCCAAGCAGTGCGCGTCGGCGGAGAAGCCGCATAGGCTGCGGTCTTCCGCTGCCAGTGTTCAAAAGGACGGATACAGTGCTCCTGCTAGTCGAGCCGTTCCTAGCCTGGCTGCTTATATACCTTTACATGCTATCGAGCACCACCTGCCCATCGACCCCTTCCCATACCCTCTAGACCACGATGAGCTTCAAGACTCCCACTGGGAAGACGACCTCACGTCTTTCTTCGGACTCGACGACGACGCTCATTAACTCTCCCGCCCTCCCCCTCGTCGATGTCGTCGATTCCGACGGAGATGCAAAGGCCCCCAAGCCGAGCTTCATCCACGGAGCTCGTCCTCGAGGTCATTCCACTTCGACGATTCGCCCAGAACCCTCAGAGTCCGCCCTTCCTATGTCTCGGGTGACCTCCAACCCTCTCCCCCAATCAGGTCTCTCGTCCCTCGCTGCATCGTTCACTGCTGAGGCACGGCCGGCGACCCGCAGCCGTGCGTCGTCCGTCAGCCAGCGTGGCCGGTCGGCCAGCCCATTTGCCTTCACTTGGAGAATCGTTTCTGGACGCTCAGCGACGCCCCCAAATGGGGCACCGCTGACTTGGTACAACGCTCGAGAACCGATCTCGAGGGTTCCCGAACAGACGGAGGGATGGGAGCGCACGCGCCAGGCGAGTTGTTTTCCTCTGTCAGATGGCGTTGTGCTCAGCCGCATATAGCGAGTGGCTGAGGCGGCGATCAATGTCCTCGGCATAGCTGGTGATGTTACGCACGAGACGTTACTGGTATCTTCGGAGTTGCTTAAGTTCGCACCCATACCTGGATTAGCTCTCGCAGCAAAGCTATTGCTCGAAATATGGGACTCCCTGCAGCAAGTAGATGTGAGTATTTGTGTCATGACTGTGCTATATGAAGGCTCACATCTAGTAGGTGAATCGTGTTACCTGTATGCGGCTGACGGAACGCTGTGCAACAATTCTATATTCGGTTAGAGAGGATGTTGCTGAGGCGGGAGATGAGGTCGGGGATGAGCTATTACATCCCATCGAACGGCTTGTCGAGTACGTTTCGCTTCCCTCCGCGTCTTGCGCAAACTGATCTCTGTTTCCAGGACATTCACCCAAGTTCACCTATTTTTGCAGACGCAGAATCATAGGCCATTCCTCAAGCGGTACCTGAGGCGCGATGAAATACAGAGGTCGATTCAAATGTGTGACAACAGTTTGACCGACGCCCTCAGCATGTTCAGTGTAAGGCGGCTTGCCATTGTGTCTCGCTCAATGCTGACTCAGCGATACTGTTAGTTCGGCATCCAGATTCGGATCTTGAAACAAGTACTGAAAGCGGAAGAGCAGAGGCAAACAGATACTGCCGCGTTGTTGGAGAGGCTGGTACAGAACACACCCCCACATCAGGCTTCGCCCTTGAACGCCTTGTTGTTGACCGGAACCGAGCCGGACGCCACGCCTGTAACCTCGGTCGATCAGCTGATGGGAGCGACACCAGAGCAGATCCGCTCGACGCTGCGCACCATCAACGCACGGCAGACGGAACTCGACCTTGTCCAAGATACGGCCGAGCTCCGGCAGCTTATGCGAGCGGCGCTGTCAACCAACAACGACGGAGAGATGATTCGGGTGTTGCAGGTCGGGCGTGACGAGATGCCAGAGGCAATCAAGGCGCTCCAACGAGCACTGGAGAACGAACTTGAACGTGACTCGATAGTGGCGGTGGAGCAAGAGGAGACGGTGGTCGCTTCGGTCAGCGCTGCAAGTACGTCGGTCGAGACGGGGAAAGATGGCTCGGGCCTCTCGCGGTCGAAGACAGTCGCCAGTGTCGAGAGCCACAAGACGACACACAGCGTCGCATCGAGGAGGCCTCGGGATACGCTTGACCGCGAGTTTATCGAGACAGGGATCGACGCGCTGCGAAGGCTCAGTAGCGTGGAAGTTCCCCTTCCGAGTTGGACTATCACGCGCTATGAGGTGGACCGCGAGGAGAAGATCGGCATCGGGTTTTTCTCCGACGTTTACAAGGGCACATGGAGGGAGCATACCGTGGCCATCAAAGTTCTCGCAGAGACTACGCCGCGACAGCTGTTCATCCATGAGGTATGTTCCATGAGATGGACTCAGTAATAATTACTGAGTCATTTGCAGGCGACCATCTGGAAAGAGCTTCAGCATCCTAATGTCCTCGAATTACTCGGCGCGTCATCAGCATCAAGTGATCCTCCCTGGTTCTTCGTGAGCCCATACTACAAGAACGGCAGTATGGTGACTTATCTCAAGGGACTACCAAGTCTGGACTCGGTGGATCCGCTCAAGATGGTGCACGAGGTCGCGAAGGGCATGGCATATCTGCATGGAAAGGGCGTGCTTCACTCGGATCTCAAGGTATGTGGCTGTTTATTACAGCTTGCTTGCGCGTCTCAACCTGCGGCTTTCCGCGGCTCCAGGGTACGAACATCCTGGTTGACGATCGAGGACACTGCGTGATCTCGGACTTTGGCCAGAGCGAGATGAAGTCGGAAGTTTACCGAATGAGCGGAACACCTCTTCCCCGTGGGTGCCGCCATCATGCATCTTCTCTGAATCTGTAGCTGATCTCCCCTCCGTTTGTGCAGATGGAACTCTCCGGTGGCAGGCGCCCGAGCTGATGGCAGGCGAGAGCAAGATGACGCAGCAAATGGACGTGTATGCGTTTGCGATGTGCTGCATCGAGGTCATCACCAAGGGTGCGCTGCCTTGGCAGCTTGCAGATGACGATGCAGTGCGCCATTTTGTCCTCAGTGCGTATATTGTCTATTTTCCTTCTGGCAACCTTCGTAGTCTGACTGCTGAACATATCAGAGGAGAACATGAGGCCCCAGATTCCACTCATTCCGCGCAAGTGGATTCCACAGCTCGCCGAGATCATCAACGCATGTTGGGACCGCCACCCGGCGGCCCGACCATCGTTCGCCAAGGTCGTCAAAGACCTCGAGCAGCTCCGCCTGCGCTTCGATTCGAACATGAGAGATTCACCTCTCCAGAAGCTCCCACAAGAACTGGATGATCATATTTCTAGCAGGAAATCGCCAGATATGCACCCAGTCAACCTGCCCTTCTTGCCACGTGAGTATACAAGTTCCAGTTATGCTCGCGCTTACCTAGGTGTCTCCATACAATAGCGGATACGGATGTCACCATCGTTGACGAGCCGTCGCTCTCCTCTGACAACTCGTATGAGACCGCTCAAGGGGATATTTCCTCCCCGCCTTCTTACGAACATGTTCATGGCCATGAACCCGAGGCGTCGGACCCGTTCTCGCAATTTACTTACGGTACGACCAGAAGCAGTAGTCGCTCCTCGTCAATGTGCGAGGACACTCCGGACTCACGTTCTGACGCCGGCGTCATGCTCGATCCCCCTGGATATCAATCGCCGCCTCCTGCAGATGCGCGAGATGCTCAGATCCGTAACGAGAGGCGGTATAGGATGTTATTGCAGCATGAATTCCATCCTTCGCGTGAGTATTGTCATCCTTGGTTCGCATTCATACCTTACTCATGTCGCCACTGCACCGCAGTGACATTGCCGTTATGGACTCCAGAACATGTTCCCCTAGGCGCAGTCGGTTATCTCAGCAAGCCAGACGGGCGGTTCGTGATTCTTTTCAACGCATTCAAGCCCTTCGAAACATCCAACGGCGTGGCCGCGAACATGGCCTCGCTCGAAGGATTTGGGCGCATCTCGACCGGAAGCCAGCGTCAGGATAAGCGCAGCGTTACGCAGCGAGGCATGGACATGCTCCAGTCTTGGATCAATTCAAAGAGCAGCCCTTCCTCGAATGTTAGTCGTCGCTATTCGTCCCCCCTGCGCGCTGGCCACAAGGCCGCACATCTCTTCACCGAGTCGACCGTGTATCGCTATGTGGAAGACCTCGCCTCACCCAAGCGTTGGTTTAAAGCGAATGTGGATATGATACTGGAGCTATATGGAAAACAGCACCAACTTGCTCGGGACGACTTGTATTTGGGTAAGTAGCGTCCACTCGTGTACGCGTTTCGTACACTAACCGTCAGGATTTACAGTCATTGGGACACTCGAGGCGCAGGATTATGCTCTCCACGTGAGCCATAACCATCCTGACGAGCAGGTGAGTCACTTGATCCCATACTGAAGCGTTTGCTGATGGTTCCCTAGTTGAATTTCAACGTCCACGCGGCTGCACGAGCTGGCCAGCCTTGGGGCCACTTCACCACGACCACTGACCTGGCCTCATCCCTAATCGGCGGGCCCGTTTACTCTGATGAGCCTGCCACTGACGCATCCTACGCTGAGAAAGTCTCTACCGTCGGGCGCGGTGGGAAGTGGGATTCGGTGCTGATCGCGAGGCTCCGGTTCAAAACTGACAGTTCTGAGCCTACCTCCCTCTGAACGACCCCACTACGTATACCTCAGATCCAACCACATGCCATGAACTTTTTCTTGCCAGTACATTCCAGCATTTACACAATCTCGCCGTATAAGCACACATCCGTGGACTTCTATTTACGCCGTACTCACAGTCTTGTACAACACATACCTTACGACTTGTCATGATTGCCCAGAGAACGGATTTGATATCCTCGTGTTGCATATATATATACTCTGGAGGTTATTGTAGCGTTAGATGGGTGCATTACCTAACAAAAAATCGATAACTTATTAGAGTTTAGGAACTATTCTGTACGCTGTGTTCATATATCTTATCATCTGACGCGACAGCACGGCGATTGTTCATGCTGAGTTTCGCTTGATGGTTGAAGCCTGAAACCAGCGACGACTCTAGCTATCAGTGATGGAATATGTCTCTTGATGGTAGTGACCGTACCACTGGTTTCGCCTTCGATAATTAATGATGACTCTACTTAGGGACTCTACTTAGGTATTCTCTTCACCACGATTCACGCCAATTGATTTGTCCTTTTACCTCATGGCGCATTTTCGAAGATTATAGGAATATGTTGGCAGCTACGTACTCGATTTGCCACCTACACACGCACAATCCCACTCTCTGGTTCCACAATCTGGTTCAGGACCATACGCAGGATAGAAGCCACCTTTACGGATGTGAGTAGTCATATATCAGCGGAGTCATTTTACATTGACTATGAGTCGACAGTTTCAGCTGCATGTGGCACAATACATCCATTCCACAGGCCATCCGAGATCATGAGTAGTCGAAGATGAATCCTGTGCGAACCCAATTCCTGTGGACTCCTAGCATCTACACGCCGACGAGGCCCATTGTGGTGCACCTGCCTTTCCTGTCCCGATCACTCAAAAGCGGACTATTCTAATTTTGACTAGTGTGGCACAGATCGCAATCTCCCTACATAAAGTAGCCGGATAGCATAACTGCGTGCTTAGTTGCCGAGTTCCGTATCCGACTGCTTTAAGTATTGGGCGGCTGCGGTATCTGCGCTGAAGTGCTGAGATTCGGACGAGCGACACATGATTCACTAGGAAATCTGGTAAGAAACTTACCCCTATGTCGCATGAACGACTAAATTGTAGGTGGGGTCTACAATCAATTCCGAGGTGCATGTTTTCTTCAACGATAATAGTATCTGCGAACCTGTATCTTGTAGCATCGGCACCCTATGTTCCATCTTTGCGGATGGAATGATGAGAGGTCACGTCAGTCATTGTCTTTATATTCCTATAGACATCCGAGGCTCAACATGTCCATCCAGTTTTCAAAGCATGATTCCGTCATATTTCCTCATTCGATGGCAGAACTTGACCTACAGGATGCATAGAGATTAGCGGAAACTTCGTTGTGCGCACATCAATGCCGCACCATTTGTACGATTTTCGCCAGGGTTATTTCAGTCGCATCCACTCCTTGAAGCTTTGATTCATTCTCGTCATTCCCAAGCATTTTGGTACGAATACGCTCTCCGTATTCGATGCAGAGGATTGAAGAGGCCGGCACGTAGCGTGGATGTGACGTCCACCTCCAAAAACCGCAGGGTAAAATCGATGATCGGGTCTCTGAGCCCTGGACCCACCAACAAGGCCCTTTCGCTTCAATAGAGAGAGAGGCAGGATTTTT